CTTCATCATTACTTTATGAAGTTTCTTTTCTTTTTGTTGATTTGTAGGGGGATTTCGCGAACTACGATTTAGGTATGATGCGATGTGAGCTAATGTTCTTGCTGAGTGACTAACAGATGGATTCTTGACAGCCGGATTGCGTTTGGTTTTTTTTTTGTATTGAAATGTTTGGGTCGATTAGTGGAAATATTTAGTCTTTTCCGAATTCCTTTCGGTAAAAATTGTCGGAATTATTCAGTTCGTCCGTGGTTTGATTTTTCTGGACATTAATGGTTTAGTTTGGAAGCTGGTCAAATGTTTTTGACACTCGGTACTGTTAGATTGTCCAGTTTCCTCTTTTTTTTTCTCTTGATTTCTACGGGAACATTTGTCGCCTTTGGTGAAGTGGTGGTAAGATGTTGTTCATGAGTTGATGCATGAGATCTGTAAACTTTGTTGGGTGGTCTCCCGCCCATGACTTTGGTGGGACACATGAGAGTTAATTAAAAACTCTAAACCTAATCAGTTAGATGAGAAAAATCTAAAAGGTAGCCGTAGCAGGAAGAAAAGAGGCTTTCATCTGTGAAGAAGAAAGATTCAATGATTGGTGAGTGAAATTGATTTTGATTGGTATGATTTTTGGTATATTGATCTGGACATCATGCTCTCTGAATTGATCGATGTAGATCTTAAAGATTTCTTCTGCTATTCAGTTTTTCTCTCTAAAATTTTGAAATTCATCTGAGTGCCTGGATTTCATATAATATTTGATATTCTCTAATTAGTCCAGGGAGCGTGAACTTTATAATCCCATTATTTTATAGTGAAAGTTTTATCTGGTTTGTAGGTGGTTTTTCCTCTTCATATTGAAGGATTTTTTCACATAAATCTTGTCTCGTTATTTGCTTAGTATTTTATCTTTAATCTGATTAACTTGTACTGTTAGATTATTTATAATATATTTGGTGTTACATTATATCTTGTTTGATTCACATAAAGAGAAAAAAAAAAAGATTTTGGTGTTTGTCACTTCTGCAGATTCAGTACTTCATATCTAATCTTTTCCCAACAAACTTTGATCTTCCTGTGCTCACAAAATTGTCTTTTTTGACTTCTTGTGATCCTCAATTCAGACAAAAGTATCGGAATCTTTTGTTATCCGTCATGCTTGCTTCCACGAAAGTTTCGGCCTTCTTCCCTGTCCCATCTTCCTCCTCTGTGGTCTCAGCAAAAGCATCATTGAAGGCCGTCACCGACAGCCCTGAAAACTTGGACGTCCGTGGCATTGTAGCCAAGCCTATTTTGTCATCAGGCACCATGGAGGTCAAGGCACAGGCCCAAGCTCTTCCAAAGGTTAACGGGACTAAGTTTGGCCTGAAAATCGATGCCCAAAAGATTGAGGAAGATGCTCCCTCAGCATCGAGGACATTCTACAATCAATTGCCGGACTGGAGCTTTCTTTTTGCTGCCATAACAACCATTTTCTTGGCCGCAGAGAAACAGTTTACCCTTATTGACTGGAAGCCCAGGAGGCCCGACATGCTTGGTGACGCATTCGACCTTGGGAAAATAATGCAGGATGGATTAGTTTTCAGGCAGAACTTCTCCGTCAGATCATATGAGATAGGGGCAGATGGAACAGCTTCTATAGAGACTTTGATGAACCATCTACAGGTTTGGTGGTAGATTACTGCTTGGTTTCACATATATTAATGCTTGCTCTTATTATATATAAAAATATATTATGCAGGAAACAGCCCTTAACCATGTAAGAAGTGCTGGGCTCCTGGGTGATGGCTTTGGTTCGACACCTCAAATGAGTAAGAGAAATTTGATTTGGGTTGTGACCAAGATGCAGGTCCTTGTAGAACAATATCCTTCCTGGTATGTTCTTTGTCTAAGCCAGTACGTTTGCTTTTCTCCTTGATTTGTGACAAAAATAATTGGTCTTGAGTGCCTTTTTTGTCTTTAGCTTGAACTATAAGCAAGTTCATGAATGCAAGAAATTTTCTTTAGATCTGAACATGTATGCTTGCTGCTTGTCTGATTCTGGCTACTGTAGATTTTCTTCACTAAACCATAAGCAGAATTTGGTCTGAATGATCTTTTCAGTTTTCAAACTCTAGTTTGTTCTGGTATATGCTGTCATCATTCTTCTTGGATCACTGATTCATAGAGTGAAAGCTGTTGCAGTAGCAAACTAGAAAATTATTATTGTGTTAAAAAGTATAAATTGACTGAGTTATTGGACCAGTTAAGGTCTTGATAATGAGTCATTTATAACCTTATATGTGCTATGTGCCAACCTTTACTTCCTTTCCCTTCGAATCCTGCACTATGTTGTTGGTCATGACTGCTCTGGATTTTCAGCATCAGCTGCTAGATTAGCTCACTCATTTTTCTTTTCATGTTTATAATTTATAAATGAGGGAAAATATATGTTAACTTCTTATTAGAAAAACCTTCTATCTTTGAACTCCTCTGTTGAGGTTTTGTTATGTTGTTCAAACTCTGGTGTCACCGGTCGATTATGATGTGTCTGTAACAGATTTTGCTTCAAGGAACAACTCTGCAGAAGTTTGACTTGATCAGGTCAAGTGGACAACCTTGATCATTTTCCATATATGTTGGACTTATAGCTTCTTAATATTTCTGACCAAGATGATTGAGTTGAACTTTTAGTACCATATTTCATTGCTTTCTTTAAACATATTGTTTCTGTTGTTTAGGTTTTTATTTCATTTTTTGTTCCTTCCAGGGTGGATCACCATTGCTTGATCGAGCAAATTGAATTATTATTTATTTCTTCTACAGAAACTATATAGTATGAGAACTGTAGTTGTGCATTGTTTTTGACTTTTTGTATTTCAGGGAGGATGTCGTTGAAGTAGATACATGGGTGGCTCCATCTGGGAAACATGGGATGCGCCGTGATTGGCATGTTCATGACTATCAAACAGGTCAAACTGTTCTCAGAGCGACCAGGTGTATATATGTATTTAACGTTCATTGAATTTGTTTTGAAGATGTTGTTCGGTGGTTCAAAAGTTCACAAGTATGCATCTTGTAGTGTCCATATGCAAATATTGTTCAGCTTATTTGACGTTTCCTGGTTTTGGTCTTCGCCTGCAGTGTGTGGGTAATGATGAACAAACAGACTAGGAGATTGTCTAAACTTCCAGAGGAAGTTAGGGAAGAGATAGGATCCTATTTTGTGGACCATGATCCTGTTATAAATGAGGATAGCAGAAAGCTTCCGAAGCTTGAAGATAATACTGCAGATTATGTTCGCAGGGGGCTGACTGTAAGTCTGCATTCTGTATCTTTGGTTCTTATTTTCTTTATCAGCTTGTTTCTGTTTGTGCCGTACGAGTGGTCTCCAAGTATCTTGCTTTGCTACTAATTGCAGCCTCGATGGGGTGATTTGGATATCAATCAACATGTGAACAATGTCAAGTATATTGGCTGGATCCTTGAGGTAATTTAGTTGACTTATGAGCATATAGTGGGCACATTTGGGTGGGTGTCTTATCTGATTATTGTAAGAAATAGCTCATTGCTATGGCGAACTAGGTTGATTCTTTGTTGAGAAACTAAGAAGAACTAGGTTGATTCTTTGAAGTGATTCTCTTAAAAATGTTTAATTATGTTGAAAAATTCCTGACCAGCATTGCTATGGCTTTTAAAATTGAAACAGTTGAATTATGTTGGATCATGTTGAATATTATCCATTTGCACCTAACAGTATTAGATTGGTGGACCTGCTACAAATACATTGGAAGCATGATCAAGTATTTGTGTAGTTCTAAATGATAACCCATGTTTTCTCTTTATTACGCAGAGTGTACCAACCTCAATCTTAGAGAGCCATGAACTTGCAGGCATGACTTTGGAATACAGGCGGGAATGTGGGAGAGACAGCATGCTGCAATCACTCAGTGCTGTCTCAGACAAGAGTCCTGATGGTTCACCGGATGCCAGCATCGAGTGCCAGCATCTTCTGCGTATGGAATGCGGGGCCGAGATCGTGAGGTGTCGAACAGATTGGCGGCCCAAATGTGTGCAGGGGCTTTAGAAAACGAAGCCACTTGGAGCCGGGAGTGCATGATGGATCAATCAATGGATGGGTTAACTACTGATTTCCATCATCCACTGGGGCAGGATGGAGTCAGCTAATTGAAGCCCTCTTTCTATATCTCTTGCCCTACTGCCAAATACCAATCTCTGTAGAAAAGAGATGGAGATCGTATAGAATTGCTCGTGTTATTTGTTTGTTTCATTTTATTCACCCTCATATTTGTCCCTTGCCAATAAGATTTTCACTTTGGAGTCATGTCGGTGTCTGCTGTGTAATTAATTGTCATTGTTCATAATTTGTTTCTTCTGAAATCTGGACAAAAGACATATACTATTCAAGTGGTCTGGTGGCTTTCTGCAGTTTGAGCTCCTCATTCTGGCATGTGGGTCTAACAAAGAGGTTAGAAGCCTGTCACTGTGAAAAAACCTGCGATTTGAATTTGTTGCTTACTTTTGGTAATGGCATTCCAACAAAAGACAAAGATATAATTTTAACGTTCAATTATAGTGACGAATAACGGTATCACAAATAATTATTGTAGATGAGGAGAATCGTTCTGCATTTACATCGATGTCGACCCTTTTGTTGCATTATATCTGCGTCAACGCTAATGCAGATGTCGAATAATTTGTTGCTTACTTTTGGTAATGGCATTCCAACAAAAGACAAAGATATAATTTTAACGTTTCAATTATAGTGACGAATAACGGTATCACAAATAATTATTGTAGATGAGGAGAATCGTTCTGCATCTACATCGATGTCGACCCTTTTGTTACATTATATCTGCGTCAACGCTAATGCAGATGTCGAATAATCCTTTCGTCGCTCATTATACTTGTATATTCAGAGTTACACGTGATCTTATGAAAACCCAACGATGTTAAGAATCGTCTCGTTCATCCATTTTTCACTCGTTTGGCGCATAAACATTCCCAAACCTAACCATGTTTTATCCCAGTCAATCTCATGAAGTAATCGAGTTAAAAGGGCAGCATAACCAAGATTTTTGTGTATATAAAAGGAGAAAAAAATATGGATGAGGAACAATATACTTTTCGAGATTGTTTGTATGTGTTTCAGGTTTCATACAAGAAGCTCTCACAGATTACAATTGTATAATAATTCAGCTGAAATTTTTTTTCCAAAAAGAAGAATAGATTACTGCAAAGATCTAATACAGGCTGATCCATGCTCTCCTCAGAGCACAAAAAGGATGCCAGCACAGAAGAACAGCCAATCCTCCATAAACAGGTGGATTTAGAAGACACAGCAAAAGGTGCTAAGTTAGCATGTTACGTTCTCTGAAAATATGATAAAATTTATAACCCGCAAAACATAAAGAAAGTTACAAAATACTCCTGAAGTAGTTGAGTAGGCTCCATGGTGGTTCCTCCTCTTTCACAAAAGATAATTCAGCTGAACTTATACAGCACTACCAACAAGCTGTGTTGGGAATTACATTATCTTTCACTATGGAAAATCCAGATTGAGTACAAGAGCTAGGGCAAAAAACACATACAGAACTAGCTAATTCAGTTTGCTTCTGGATAAGGATACAAGTTTCTATCATGGTAGACGGACCGGACTGCAAAATACATATAATAGTGAAGGAAAGAATTATTGAACATATGGTTAGAAGATATACATGCATGTAACAGAGGTAATCAGTGTTGTTAACAGTATTGACACTGCATTCACAGCATTGTTGTCTAGTATACTTGCTCCAGAGATCTTAACAACAGTCGGACCCTCATTTCCCACCACCTTCATAAGGAAACCAGAGTTCACAGTGAATATAGATTTTGACACATTATTTCCAAGAGCTTCGATACAAACAAAAATTGAGAGAGAGTTTTTGACATAGAATCTGAGTGAGACGAGGAATCCAGATTAAAAAAACATTCATGTTACCTTCTTGCGGACTGTGCAATACCCGCTGAATTGAAGCGTGGCACCCAAAAACGAATCAATCAGGCTTCCGAACAGCCCAGCAGCTGTAGCAATGGGCACAACAAATAGCTGCCTCTTGGCTATATCTGCAGAACATTCAGTTGTAACCATTCCAACTAGGGCAAAAGCCACCCCAATAACAAAGCCAGCTGCCACAGCTGCTAGAAGTCCATGTACAGTGACACCACCATTCGTACCTTTTCGGACTTTCTAACAAGAGAAAGATGTGATAAATAATGACTATCAACCATCAGACACTAAAAATTAGAAGAGAGCATCAGCTTTTATAAGGTGCACAAATGTAAACATCAGATGGCCAGTGGAACAAAGAATCTTTAGCTGGAAAGAGAAGAACTTCATATTGTTCTGTTGTGAAAAATAGTAGCTTATACTATAAAATTTTTCACAATTATGTCATAAACATCCCAAGATCATCTCTTCTAGGTGCATATAATTTTCTAGCACAAAGAAAAATCCCCACAAGTCATGCTCCAAGTTTTAATTGTAAGACAAATAACGTCAAACTGGATTCAAGGATAACCATGAATAGTTTAACTTGGTTATAAACCAGAACTAATTTGATGGTTCCGAACATAGGTGACATGGATGCATAGTGCATTAGGAGATATTTTAGGTCTCAAGAACTGTTTCAAAAGTCCCAGAAAGATATCCACATGCCTGACATGAAGATTAAAAGTCATCAGATATCAAGATTAGCTCAGGAAAATTTAAAAGACGATCAAAACATTTCAAGTATGATCAATAGGCACTCACAAACCTTCAATCGTTTACACGAAACAAGCATGACATGACCAGTCATACATCTTACGATGAAAAGCAACAGATTAACCATGCCATAGTAGAAGCTGCATTAAGGTGAAAACCGCAAAAGCTAGAAAAATCTCTTCTTTGTTTCAGTCAGTCATTCACATTTATTATAAAATAAATTTTAGGAAATAACTGCATAAGATGTGGTGATTAAAATATGATAAAAAATATATATTCATACCTTGAAGGTTGTGATTAGTCGTGGTTGTGCACTGCTAAGCATTCCAAGTTCAGAAGACCAAGTATCCCCATTACAACAGGCATAATGCCCAACAATACCTCCCAAAAGTGCAGTTATTACAGTTGAATCTTTAGAATCCAAGCACCTATCATGGCCTTGAGTTATTCTAGCAAATATCACCACCAAAATAGTTGCTATTATACTATTTGACAGAACTTGTATCCTGTAAAGTAGAATTAGCCAAACCTGCATTAAAAAGCATGGCGAGAAATTTGCTGAATGGATCATTGATGCAAATATCACACAATTGCAGTCTGGTGCCATAATTCAAGATATGCCCAACAGTGATATCGAAATAGAAATTGCTGACTTCTGTAGACTTAATATTACTTAATTAACTAAAATCGTAAGTGCAAGAGTCAGTTCAAATTTGAATTCTAAAGTTTTACAAGAGAAAAAAAATCTAGTTTATCCACTTCTTGAGGTCAGTAAACTTGAAAAACATAGGGTACATAGACGATTATCATGCAGAATAAGTATGTGCATTATGATCTCTCATGAAAAGCTACTAAATGATTAAGGTATCTAAGTGTGTCATGTATTTCAAACAAGTGCTGGAATTTGGGGATTGGTGACAATTATTCTGTTCTTAATATACTGTGTTAAAGGGAAATCTCATTAGAGCATCATGGCTTTCGTATTGATTCTGACTAAGTCTTCCTGTCCCTTAATTCACCATCGATCTAATGCACTAAAGGACCTTTTTTTAGGATGTCCAAAGCACCTTACTTGAGCTTCCCTTATTTTATAATGATCGATACGACCTGAAACTTTCTATTAATTAGTCATTCCATTTTTATTAACCACCCAACTTCATTCAGAGATGAAACAGATAACAACTCAAATAGCATATGAAATAGTTGATGAATTTGATGAAATTCACAAGACAAAAGTTATTCAATCAATTACAGTATAATGTTCTCATATAGCCACTACCTGAAATAAAATACGGAAATACAAATTTCGGATAGCTAGCACCAAGCTAGAGGTCATTGTGCTAAGCTTCTAGTGTAGGACATGCGGCGAATGTTAAATGTAGGAAAAAAAGGACATCAGGAATAAGTCCATGATTCCAATGATGAGATTTCCCAGGTAGATTTGTGCTTGTGATTATCTAATAGATCATTAGCTTATACTGGAATTCTTCTCCTCATATCTGCCAGCGAATATAGATCAGATGGTTTCTGTGTTAACTGATAAGAGATGTCAGGATCTCGTTAAATCATTGTAAAACGGATCCAGCTAGATTTTTAACTCACATTATATATGCTTCGCATATATAACAATCGATGATACCCAAAAGTTGAAATTACCCTGATTTCCATAATCATCTACTAATAATACTTGTATCTTGAGATACCTTAAGAAAAGATTCAAAGATTTCCGAAGATGAAGATGTAATCTTTGGAACGAAGGTCCATAGATGTAATCTTCAATAATCACTTTTTTTCCGTCATAACGCTAAAAGAAAAGGAAATTATCTGGGCTTAGGGTAGCTTCCGGAGATTCTTTCTCGCAACACCGGCTTAAGAGCTCAGAAAACTCACCAGTTTCGCTGCCCTCCCTCTTTGAATTCCGCATCAGTTGCCCTCTTCTTCGCCTCTCCAAGCCTCGTGACCTTCGAGGACGTCGAGAAGAACACCAGAAGCAGAGCCGCGAACCTTCGAAGATCCCAAAAAAGACGATGAAGTAAACGGCGGATCATCAGAATTCCACATACAAAAAACCGAACGAGGATCCACACCTATAGCCGGCCAGCATGTGGATCACCATGATAGGGATCCCGACGAGGACAGCAGAGGAGTCGACGGACTTGCGTTTCAGCGCTCTGGCGGCGACCGAGAACGAGAGCAACAACGAGAACCCAAGGCGGATCAGGAAGCCGTCCATCGTCCTCTTCGTTGCCTCTCCGTAGGATTCGAGATCGACAGTTAGGTTTTCGTGGGGGAGGAACTTAGGGTTTGGACCAAAGAGGGGAATCCGCAGGCCGTAGTATTAGTACGCGTCGGGAGATCGGCTAAGCAGATTCCCTGGCGCGGACGACGACGTAAACGGCATGAGACTTTATTTATTTATTTATTTATAGTTATGTTCTTGCCAATTATTTTATTTGTATATACATTTTAAATTGATTATTTTCTTTCCATTCCTATTGTTAAAATGAAATTTAATCACAATTAAATTTAAGCTCGGGATAGATTCGTGTAAGAAAATAAATACCTAAACTACATTCAAATTTGGGTATCTACATAATTGGATTTTGATTCAAATATGAAATTCATATTGCATTTCAATACTTATATGTAAAATATAAGTAGATCATTTTTTTTTGTCAATCCGACCATAAAAAAATTAAATTTTGATAAATTTTAATTGAGTTTCAAAAGGTTTGGTTTATTTACAATTTAATAATTGATAGTTGATTTGAATTTATTAGACTAATGAATGTTAAGGAAAATGATATATGAAAGATTAAAATAAGTGAAGAGAAACATGTGTAAGAAAACTTGTAGAGATACAGCTGTCGAGGTCCAGATCATCGACTGGAGCAGCAGCAAATGCCCAATCCACATTACCTTAACTCAATTTACATAATTAAGAAGGATGTCGACAACAAATCAACATAGCAAATGGGCAATAGCCATTCCACAAGTATACCAATTACTAGGAAATTTGCCCCTATACCCCCAATACAATGAAGGAAAAAAATGAAATCAAGTGAATTTGGATTGAAAAGTCTGTATAATGCAATACAACTGGTTTCAAGAAGAGCAGCAACTAAATGTACTGGCTCCATCATTTGTATCCCCCTGTAAGACCACAGGGTTCCCACTACCTAGCGATGACAGCTCTTTTTTCTGTTCTTGAGATTGGAATACTTTCCGGCTTAGGATGTGGTAGATCTCTTTCACTAGGGTCTGAAAGGCTGCTGCAACATTGGAGTCGTCCAGTGCAGATGTTTCGATGAAGAAGAGACCTTGAGCTTCAGCCAGAGCCTTGCCCTCTGCTGTACCAACTTCCCTTGCATCCTTGAGATCCGTCTTGTTGCCGACCAAAATGATCACGACGTTCATATCAGAGTGTGCTGTTTCAGCGATCAAATACATCAAATGAAGCATCCGTTAGCTCAGAGTCTTTCAATAGATAACATATAGATCAAGATGTTGGTTCTAGGATACTTGCAACTATATCTAATCAACAGCATACCAAGTAGTTATGGACCCATGATTGACATGATTTCTGGCAATTCCAACAATTAGACTAAAATAATCGAATGCCAACACTGTTACCATTCAACAATTTTTTGGTGCTTACTATGTAGCTCATTCAGCCAACGACCGATGCTGTCAAAAGTCTGACGTCTGCAGATATCATACACCACAAGAGCTCCTACGGCACCACGGTAATATGCAGATGTCACGGCCCTGAAACGTTCCTGACCAGCAGTATCCCAAATCTGAGCTTTAATTTCCTTCCCATCAATTTGCATCTTCTGAGTTTGGAATTCAACCCCTATAGTTGACTTGGAATTTGGATAAAATTCATTCCGCGCAAACCTCGCAAGCAAATTTGATTTTCCAACTGCAGAGTCACCAATCATAACAATTTTAAAAAGATAGTCCTGGTTCTGCTGCTCATCTCCGTTGTTGTCCATCTTTAAACTCTCCTAAATTGCTACTCCCAGTGCAGTGCTCATGGAAGAACCATAGCTAACACAGCAGTTGAAAACATGCAGGGTGAGCCATCTTAATATAGGAGAAAGAAAAAATGAAAATATAATCCTCATCAAGTAAGCCATCACGAGTCTCTAATTTTAGCAGTTTAATACAACAAAGAGCTAATCAAAATTACCTCATGAACTCCAACATGATTTTCATAATTCAAATAATACCATTCAAATAATGCCATATAAAGGCAACCTGCAGTGCACATGTCCATTTGAGGCATGTGAGGTGTCACGTTTAAGCTCATTGCCAGACCTACAGACTTTGAGATTTAAATCTTGACTTTCTTCCTCTCCCTCCTTTTTCTTCTATTCCTATTCTTTTTCTTATTTCAACTAGAAAATCAGCTGTGACAGGCTTGGCAGTTTTATTCTGAATGATCTTTTTCTTCCGGCTATTAAGACTGAGAAACTGGATTGGCCTTGTCAATATCAATATGATCATATAGGGAATTGGCGAAATACCATAAATCTTGCCTAACCTAGCTTGCCTAAGTGCCTATTTATCATGTAGTGGTCCTCTTTCAACACAACATTGTACTTATCACTATTGATCAAGCCCAGCAATATTCATAGTAATGTAGAGAAACTTCTTACAGTATCCTTGTAATTTGTGGCCTATCCTACTTTGTGCTCTGAAACATTACCAAACAGTTTCAACCCTAACGTTGATGTAAAACTTCATATCTCCACATTTGCCCTAACTCTCAAGTTGGAACCAATTCCAATTTGATTAAAAAAAACTATCCCTGCCGCCAAATTTCATAATATAAGGGGAGTCCACTCAGAATGAAGGTTAATGCTTGGATCATCACTAAAGAACAATTGTAGTCAGGAAAACAGGGATGACAACAATCTGCTTTATATGGATTTCTCTCAAGGGTGGAAACCTATTTTGCAACTAATTCAACCTTTTCTCTTTGCAACATTATGGTAAGGCATGAAGTGGTAAAGGGTTATCATGGTGAAAAAGGCACCGTAAGTACAAAGTGGATCACTAATATAAACCACAATTTTATACTGTTAAGAATTCAAGTAATTTCATGTAGCAAGGATCAAAACCAAAACATCAACAATACAATTTATGACACAATTTAATCTAAAATACAGATACCATCCAACATCAATATATCAAAATGTTGCATGATCATCAACAACACAAATATTATCAAATAGCAAAATCTCAAAATCATCCACAACATATCATAGTACCATCTATAGAAGGGCCAATTCAGTGTACAAGGCTCCTGCTGACACAGGACTACGCAATCCAACCTCTAATATTTAAAGAGACTAAATTTATGACTCAACCCTAATCTCCTAGATCATAAAGGAGCAATTGTATCAAGATTCACTTTCATTATAGTCCTATTTATAATAAACAAATATGATAGCAAGCCTATCCATGACACAAACATAAAAGAAAAAAATATGTCAAATAAAAATGCTCTTATTCATCATATTCACTAATTAGAAGATTTTCCTCCCCATCGAGCATAAGAACACGATGTATGGAACATAAACCTCCAATTTATGCCCTCATCCAGATTATCAATTTATATGAACCTCCCTATCAATCACAAGGGTTGGGGCTTAAAGCGTCGCTAAGGCTAAAAGCATAGCAGCCACTGCAATGATTGATGGCCTGCTATAACGACGACAACAAATTCAAACCGCAATAGCATCTAAGAAATTAATTACAGCAAATTCCACTATAATGGATAAACACAACTCTTGATGTAAATATCCTGAATCGATGCAAAAAGGAAAGACAGAATTACTGTACTTAATCTATATTAGCATTAAGCTAAGCACTCACACCATCTTAAAGATGTTCCAGGAGAAGTTTCGTTCCAGTCTTGTGTCAGTTATTTCTTATCTATAGTTGCATGCCTAGCTGAAATCCAAAAACATTAAATAAAATAAGAAGAAATGACAAAAGAAAGTGTAACTTGGTCTGTCAAACTGAAGGTAGTTGAGAAACTAGATCTTGGATTGCCTTTGCAGTCAACCTAGCTTTCATCGATTCAAAAAAAATCTACTGCAAAATATGTCTGACGAGATGAGAAGATTTCTGGAATTTCGAGGAAGGCGGATTCTTAAAGAGCTCAAACTTGCAACTACTTGTTAAGTAGCCTCGAGGCGAACAATCTTCATTACATACAATGAGTTCAGGCCAAAAATTGTTTGCACAGTAGACACTAATCAGAATTGGTAAAGTTATCAAAAAAGTTGTTTGACTTATTCTAAACCACAGGAAAAAGTAGACACCGACGAGAATAAATTGAGGGAAGTAATGATACCAATCATCACAAAAAGGCACGACTTTGCATTACAGAACAGCGAAAAAGTACAAGAGAAGCAAGAAAAAGTCAAAAGGGCACCGCACTGATCTAATCTGGTAGAGAATCTACAGCGAAAAATCGAATTTCCAAGAAGGAACTAACTAAAAGACCTAACGCTTTTGACCAAATTCGTCAAAACAAATCGCTTTTCAGATAATTAAGAAAAACCCTAAAACACACAGAACTACTACTCTTAAGTTAAAAGTGCGATCCGTCAATCTGTAACAGATACAACCCTAAGAACTGAAATCGATTTTACCAAGTCCGGATAACGAGAAATGGCGACGTATTGGGTCCAAGGTCCGTCGTCTATTCTTTCCCCCTTTCGAAGCCCTCGGTTCGCTCGACGAAGAAATCTCCAGGAAGAGGAGGAAATGGAGAGGGATCGAAGAGGAGCTCTTTCTTGAGAAGTCGAAGCGGGTTGCATCTTTTTAGTCGAGGGCGGTGACGAAACCGAACACAGACGGCGGTGAGGGGAACCATACCAGTGGCTGTTCAAAGCGGGGAAGGTGGAGTCTGCATCTCTACCCCTCGTTTGACCTTCTCTCCTCTGTACCTGTTGTATGTATAACAATGGCGGTTTCACGATTCACCTTCTCTCCTCTATACACTTCAGTAATAGACTCCTTTGGTTTTTATTATTAGGCAATTTTGATAATGAATCGAATTATTTCAAATCCAATTAATCCACTAGTCGTTTCAATCCATTCAAATTGCCTTGACTTAGGTCAAATCGACTCAAGTCAATTCCTTTGCAGGAACACATGAATCATCTCTCTCCCCCTTCTCTTGCTCCATCTCCGCTAGCTCCTTCTCCTCTCACTCTCCCGCCTCCTTTCCCTCCCTATCAACTTCCTCCTCCTCTCGCTTCCCCTTAGCTTCCTCCTCCGACTTCACCTCTATTACGACCACCTCCTCCTCCTCTCACTCCCGGCATCCTTCCTCTCCCTCTTGGCTTCCTCTTTCCCCTTTTTCTCCCACTTTACCTCCACCACCTCCTCCTCCTCCTCCCACTTTTTTGCCTACTCCCCCTCTTCAAAGACTTCCTCCTCTTCACCATCTTACCCTTCTCATTAACTTCATTTTCCTTCTCCCACTCAACCTCCATTGACATTTTTCCCCTCTTTCTTGGCCTTTTCCTCCTCTACCTTTGCCTCCTTTTATCTCCCTACCCCTCTATGACCTCTGCCTCCTCCCACTCCTCCTCCTCCTCATAGTTTAATCTAGAAAAATCTTATTATATTTATGTTGCAATGGGATTACAATTGAGTTAGACTCATTTACAAAACTTATTAAAAAATTATTAATTTTATCTAAATTTATTTTAATTTTATGATAAAATAAAAACCTTGTATAATTTTTGTTTAAATCGTATTTCTAATAAAATTTTCTCAAAGTTTTAATAATTAATTATCCTAAACTTATTTAAAAAAATTAAAATAGGTTAGGTGATCAAGTTTAACATAGTTTAATTTTGAGTGTAACTAAGTCAATATAAAAAAATAAAATATAAAATATAAAATTTTATAATTAGTTTATGATGAATTTAGAATAATTTTATATAAAACCAATATATTTCTTAATATGTTAGTATAACTCAAATGTAGCACGAGTGTAACTCGAGTGTAATGATTTTTTAAATAATATTTTTTTGAGGATAATTGGAGTTTCTTAGTTTTATGATGAATCTAAAATAATTTTATAAAAAATAAATATATTTTTTAATATGTTCAGTAAATAAGTGTATCTTCAGTGTAATTTGAGCATAATTTGAGTGTAACTCAAGAGTAACAATTTGAGATATAGTTGTTAAATCTCGAATTTTGATGATAATATCAATTGGTGAATTAATGATCTAATTCATGTGTTAAGATAAGTAATACAATACTAATTATAATTATGATAAATACAAAATAATTAAAAAATAATCAAAGTTGGGTCGAAGTCAATGATTGAGCATCGAGCTGGATGAATCGGGTGATACACCAAAAGATCGAATGATACAGTAAAAGCTCATCGGGAGTTCGTTGAAAGTTTACTGGAAGATTGTCGGGAGTTCATCGTAAGTTTACCAAAAAGTTAGATTGAATAATTGACGTATCAAATAACTTAGATTATTTGTAGTAGGACTTTAATTTGAGTTAGTTTTAAAAAAAATTATACTAACTCAATTAAAACTCAACAAAGCTGGAGTCAATTGGATCGATTGAATGACTCATTGAGCCACTTGAAGCACATCAATATCAATTATGCTTTACTAGTTACATCCTCTCCTTCTCAAGCTACATCTCCTCATTCTATCAACCCTTAAAATAATAAATTTGGGCTAAAACAGGACTCAGTCAGGATTGTAACCAGAAAAGCTAGATGATTTGTAGGATGGATTTCATTACTGGTTCTATGTTGAAGTCCTGACAAGATGGAACACATTCTACAAGTATCACAATGATGTAAGATAAATTCTTGGAAGCCATGTCTTGGATCTCGGTCTACTCGTACCACCCATAATAATCTCAGAGAAAAAACAATAAAATAATAGTACAAACTGGTATCTGAAACCTAGATCGGAAGATATGTAATTGTTTCTTTTTTCTTAAATGCACTGCCCTTATCTTACATATGCAATTTGTGTTTTCTTTAGATTTTTTTTGCATGAAATTAAGATAATTCTATATGAGTGTATTACTATAACTTAATTTACTCACAAATACTACTTTACATCATAATTTTTTTATCACATCATATTCTTTTACTATTGTTAAAAATCATTCTTTCTCGTAGTCCTAATATTACACCAGCTTGGCATTTACAACATTATATCATGATGAGAATTCTAACCTATCTCGTGAAATTGCAAGGAAAAAAATCTAAGTATAGATTTGATGGGGAGTTTAGGCAACATCATAAATCCTAATGATCTGGTAAAATTTAGGCATTGGTCTGTGGAGAAGACTTGTACGCCGGATGATAGTGAAGCATATAAATTTGCTGGAAAGCTGCAACATAAGCTAGTGCAGGCAGGAATTAGCTTGATCAAACATTTACTGCATAAACTTTTCTCGACAGATCATTTTGACATCGTCATGTACGACCTTACTCTCTGACTATCAATAAATATACCTCCTTTTGCAGGATGACCTGACATAGTTGAAATAGAACATATGAAATCCAAGGAACAAAAGTTAGTGAGAGATCACAATGGAAGTGAACTCACACCTATCCCTGTCAAAGTATTATTTCATCATGCTTTCTTCATGATTGGTGAATAATATATTTCATCACCATTCTTTGCACTATACTATCATCATTATAATCGCTAGGTTGATGTTTTGTTACCCTTTTTCTTGATCACAAGTGGTAAAGAATATACTAATATTTATGCTGAGTTTTTCTATCAAAATGATAAATTTTCACCGCATTGGCAAGATATCAATACAATCTCAAAGAAAATGTTTCTAGCTATATGATCCGATTGACTTGTCTGTTCTTATTATGAGTTGCAAAGTTAGTTATCTAACTCAAAATTGATGTAGATATCCTTTAAAGTAAACAATATGAAACATTTAATTAAAGATGTTTAGATAATCTTAGCTATAGTATAAACTAAGATAAACGGGTCATGTGAAATTAGTCAGGCTAATTAGTTCATTCCAGGTTTTTGGTACAACTTGTATGAAGTGAATTGGGTCAGTCAAGCTACCGGTTCCCGGAGGCAAAGGGTGGAGAAACACAAGGTGCCATTTCAGGCTCTCTAAAAGTCACATAAACTCGCTGGAGTCATCTCCCACTCCTGTTGACATTTCCATGTTGACACACTGGACTCTGAATGTAGCTTCCAATTGATGGTATGCCACCTCAATATTTGTAGTATCTGATGCTGCAAGGCTTGTTTAATATTGTATGTCTCGGTATTAAGTGACAATAGATGCTTAATTTAGTTGATAGAAAAAAAAATGAAGTCGTCTCGGTCTTCGCATGGAAGATTAGGCGGCGTTTTGTGACAAGACAAGAAAGAGGAGAAATGATGTATATGCTTCTACTTGTATAATATGTTTCACATGCACAGGAATGATGAGATAGTGATATGAATTCTTTTTGTTCTTTGAATATTATTCTTGCACAAGGAATTTAGTTAAATCATTCAGTATAATTTATGTCACATGCACAGGGATGATGAGAGAGTCGTATGAATTCTTTTTGTTCTTTGTTTGAAGTAGGAGAGTGAGGTGAGATCTAAGTCCAGGCAGGAAAATAAGTCTTCCATGGTCACAAGGTTACTTTGAATTCTGAGTACCCTGAAAGGTTTAGGTTTTTTCTCATCGATTGGAGTTGCTGCCTTCATACATGCAGGTGGGGAACTAGTTTTGTCATCATCCCTGTGCAAGAATATTGAGTTTCCCTTGTTCACAATTCCAACACAGCATCCACAAGATTAAGAGAGAGAGAGAGAGAGAGAGAGAGAGAGAGGTGTGTAAAAACAACACATGCAGCAGTATGTTTAGCAGAGAGATGTGTAAAAACAACCCATGCAGCAGTATGCTAAGCTGCAGAGTAGCAGCTCTGCTATGAGAGTGAAGTGCCCTGCTGTTGAAGGTGTCGGTGGTATTTGATACTGAATGTTCATGGATGTTCCATCTGCCCATAGATCATCGACAGACAGAGGATAAGGGAAACTGACCGAATGCAACCTCAAGAAAATAGATTCTTGCATTTCGATGATCGTCGAGTCAAATGCACGATTTGATATGAGGGCATCCTGTTCTATTCTATCCGGGCCATAGCTATAAGGCTGAAAGAGAAATGTTGGCTGCGGAGAGCAGAGAGATGAAGAAGCTGATGACAGGGATATAACACGATAGCAGTGCACACGCCAATGCTAGAGGAGGGCCACGATGAGTGTTTGGTGGACACATACGAGGGACAAGGAAGGAGGAGGAGAGATTTGTGTCAGGAGAAGGTTAGGAAGGATGGGATGGCCGAGGAAGCGATCGGAAGAGGATGGGGGCACCGTATTGGGGGTGGAGGAGCATGAGGACGGTGGGGGCGTGGACGTAGGAAGGGGAGAGGCGGAAGGCGAGGCGCTGGAGGAGGATGGCGACGGTAAGCTTGGCCTCGAGGACGGCCAGGTTCTGGCCGATGCACATCCGGGCGCCGAGGCCGAAGGGGATGAAGGCGGTGGGGTGGCGCGCGGCGCGGCTGGCGCCGTCCGCGAACCGGGTCGGGTTGAACTCGGCCACGTCCGTGCCCCACAGCCCCGCGTCGTGGTGGACGCCCATGATGGGGATCAGCAGCTCCGTCCCCTGCGGGATGTGGTACCCGCCCAGTTCCACATCCGCCTCCGCCCTCCGGATCGTAGCCACCACCGGCGGGTACAACCGCAGCGTCTCGTTCAGTATCATCCCCAACTGCCCAAAGTTTACATAGAACGCGTAACCATATGGATCGACGAAGAGAGAGAGAGAGAGAGAAGAGTACCGTCTTGAGCTTGGGGAGGTGGTGACGAGAGGGGAGGTCGATTGGGCCGCACACGCGGAGGACCTCCGCCCGGGCGCGCTCCTGCCACTCCGGGTGCATGGCCAGGAGCACCGTCGTCCACGTCAGCAGGTTGGTGGTCGTCTGCTTCCCTGCGAAGAAGAAGGTCTTGCACTCCTCTACGATGTCCCGCACGGCGAACATCGATGACGGAGGAGGCCGCTCCGGCGCCGGGACCGTGCCCTGCTTCGAGCCGCTCGCCTCGATCATCAGGCCCAGCAGGTCCTTCACGTCGCCATCGGGCTTCCCCTTCTCTTCCTCCTGCTCGAGGAGCTCCTTCCGCCGGCCTATTAGCCTGATCAGACTCCTCTTGATCTCCTTCTCCAATTTCCACGAGTTGCTATTCTTCTTCGTTGGTATGAACCTGCCGCAAGTGTAATGGTAGTGATAGGAATCAGACCTCCATGGGCGACGGGGTGACAAAAGAGCGGTGACCGATACCTGTAGCCGGGGATGAAGACCTTGCTGAAGGCCTCGGCCGCGAAGGCCATCTGTTGCGTCTGCAACTGGAAGACGGCCATGCCGTCGTCGTAGCTCCTGCCGAATGTGGTCCGCGTGATGGCGTCCTCGGTCACCGTCTGAAACCACTCCGACACATCGATCTCCACCTCCTCGCCGGAGGACGGCAGCTTCTCCACCATGCCCAGCACCGTCTTCCCGACAAACGGTATCAGAAGCTGATCCAGCCCATGAAAACACCATCAATGCATGGGGACAGGAAAGGGTGGCACCTGCAGTCGAACACGAAAGAGACGATATGCTGACCTTTAGATTCTCCATGTGGAAGGTTGGGGTGAGGACCTTCCTGTGACGAGCCCACTTCTCCCCTCGGAGACTCACCAGCCCCTCGCCCTCAAGCCGCCGGACCAGCGGGTGGGCCTCATACCGCTCGAAGGCGTCCGATCGCGACAAGAAGACATCCCTGATGAGGTCGGGATCGGCCACGGTGAGGCGTGGCGTCGGCCCGAACCATAGCAGGAATGTGGAGCCTGCAAAAACGAGTCCGATTCAGCCAGTGCTCTGTCTCATGAAGAAAAGGATCAAACCAAGAAGAACAGTCATTGAGGTTAACGCTTGTTGGGGAAACAGATAAGAACGAAGGCAACAGTAGTGGGACAGAGAAGACGACCACAATAACTACTATGCATTTCCTGTGCAATAGCTGAAAGGGTCTCCCACAGCAAATACCTCCAAAAACCATGACACAGTATCGGATATAACAAAAGACATTGAAGTCGTAATCCATGAAACAATCAAACCAAAAAGCAACCCCGAGAAGAAGACCAACGAGGAGGAGACGTGCAAGAATTCAAATCAGAGTTCCTAACCACAACTAACCCCGAGAAACCAAAGCAAAAGGAATAGAGGAGGGAGGAGGAGGAGGATGAAGCGAGCACCATAGATCTTCTTCCAATGGTGGTAGAAGGGGAGGACTCTTGGGAGGATGTTATGGGAGTTCTGCGGCATCATCGGCTTGGAGGAGGCCTCCAGCATCAGGCCGACCATCTCCTTGACGCAGCCGGTGAAGAAGCGGTACCGGGGTCCTCGTATCCCTTGTCTTGCGAAGTGTTCCTCCAGCTTCCTCGGCCGCCACCACAGCAAGTGCAACACCTTCAGCGCCGCGAGCATGCATGCCCCTGTGACGCCCAGGGACAAACACCACTTCCATGACCACCACTCCATGCCCTCTTGTCCTCCTCCTCCTCTTCCCCAGACACCACCAACCATCACAACAACAACAACAACAGAGACAAAGCTGCGTTTATATACACACACGTAGAGAAAGAGAGAGAGGGGGTACCGGCGGCGTTGGGTACGCCGTCAAGTTAGAATGTCAACGCCGTTGGGTTCTAAAGGTCAACGAGGGGAATCATTGGTGTAATGACGAAAATGTCCACAGAGCTGTGCTGTCTCGGCTTGCCCACCTTATTGTTCTTCGTATAAATATGGAGGAGACGGAGAAGAGGAGACAAGGCATTTATGCTGCAACAGCAGCAGCAGCAGAAGACCACAGAGCTTATTATGATTGCCTGCAGTGAGTCCCAGAAAAGTGGCGTTAGAAATTGGAGTTCGGCACGAAGTCCACATGCATTAGCTGCCACTTCCTCAGCAGCAGTGGTTCTCGGGGAGCAGCCAGAGGTGAGGGAGAGAGAATGCACTTGTTTTGTCCATGTTAAGAAATTGGTGCCCACAGGAGGGTTTGACAGATTAAAAGATTTAAAGGAAATCATAGGCAAACAGTAAATCAGATAATGTTATTTTGAAAAAGAATAGAGATAATATAGAAAATTAATGGTAAAGAAGGCAGTTACAGAGAATAAATATGCTATCAAATGATGGAGAATTTACACATTTGACACGTAATAATCACCTAAGCTTCATTCTTTTAAAGACAATTGTAAGCTTCATTCTTTTAAAGACAATCAAGGTGTTAAAACATATCAAAAATAGGAAAAATTGAAAAGACTCTCTTTTCTCTAGCTACTTGAGTTTACATTTTGATATTTCAGATTATTAACTTGAGCGTCGAAGGGATCAGATCGAGAAATATCCATCAACCCTAGTCTTTGTATAGATGGGACCCTGAGAGCATAATACTTCCACCTCAGAGCCATCTCGAAGCCACCCTGGAGCAACCTTGGATCCACCCCGAAGCCACCTCAAAATTGCCTCAAATTCACCTTGGAGCTATTTCGGAGACACTTTAGACAATCCTATGCATATACGTTCAGGCCACATTCGAGTCACCAAGACATCAATAACATTTTTCTTTAATAGTTTGGTACTAGAAGAAGGGCATGATATCACAGAAATACTCACATACCAACCCTCTCAACAAACACTCTAATGAAAAGACCCACCTCCAACCCATAATACTTTTACTCATGGAGACAATTGTCATCCTTCCCACATGTGGATACGTCCACCTTAGCACAAACGCCGATGAGACACTAGCGTTTGTTCAACGACTCAAGCCCCTCACCCCTAGGGATGAACTTGATTCACTTGCTCGTTCTTATCGATTTGTTTTTGAACCTTGCCCAACAGACGGTGCCACTATCTCAATCATGGACAATGCCTCAATCGTCATTGACACCGTCACTGGTCGAAAAACCCCTAAGAGACATGATGCTAATATTTCAGAATCACTCGAGATTCATTATGATGGAGAAGAGACATGAAATCTATCACGGTGGAAAGAAGCTTTGAAGCCCACCATGGTAGGAAACCCGAGATCCGCTAAGACGGAGAAAGAATATGAAATTCACCATGGAAGAAAGAAGATTTGATGCACGCCACAACAAGAAGACCCAAGATCCGCTATGACAGAGAAGAGATATGAAATCCACCATGGTAGAAAGAAGATTTGAAGCCTGTCATAGCGGGAACACCTAAAATTCGCTATAGTGAAGAAGGGACATGAAATCTACTATAACGAAAGAAGTTTTGAAGCTCTCTATGGCAGGAAGACCCAAGATTCGTTACAGTGAAAAAGGGACATGAAATCTGCTATGGTAGAAAGAATATTTAAAGTTTGCCATGGTGGGAAGACTTAAGGTCTGTTACAATGGAGAAAAGACATGAAATCCGCTATGACAAAAAGAATATTTGAAGCCAACCACAATAGGAAGACCCGAGATCTGCTACAATGGAGAAGGGACATAAAATCTACCATGGTGGAAAGAAGATTTGAAACCCATCACAACGGAATAACCTGAGATCTGCTATGTTATAGGCGTGAAGCCAAATGTGCCTAAGATGCATAAGTTAATAGACCCAACCCATGTTAAAATAAATATGTTATGATGGATGTACAAGGCCAAATATGCTTGAGACGCATAAATCAAAAAAATCCAATCAACACTGAAATAAATCTGTTACGATAGAGGTGGAAAGTCGAATGCTCCCAAGATGTGTGAACCAAGAAACCCAATCGATCTACCACGATAGAGGTACAAGTCAAATGTATCCGAGGTGTGTAAGTTAAGAAACCCAATTGTCACTAAGGAAAAACTATTATAACAGAAGCATGAGCCCAATGACCCTGAGACACCTAAATCGAAAAAACTAACTCGTAAAATGAGATTCTCGAACATTCATATGATAGAAAAAATTAAACGACGTGCTTCAAATCCCTCTTGTAAGAGTCCCGAAGTACGCTTTCAAGAGAGATAAATGATAAAGAATTTATTAATAATTGACACGTAGTTATCATATGTCATCCTCAGTTATACAAAGATTCAAAGTAGAGAAACATAAATTTTATTCTCATTCATTATGGCAAGGAAGATAATCACAAACTTCCTTCTCTCTCTCTATATAACAAGAAAGACAATCCTAAATTTCTTTCTCTCGAGAAGGCAATCATAAACTCTCTTCTCTTCTTTGATAATATGGAAGGACATCACAAACTTTTTTTTCATTAAGGTACAAAAACATATACTAAGTGGAAGGTCTCTCCTTTCTCGAACTCAACCGAAGACTTCAAATTACTAATTTAAACGTCAAAGAGATCAAATTGGGAAACCTCAGTTGACTTGGTCTTCGTGCATGTGACATCTTGGGAGCATAATACTATCACCTTAGAGCTATCTCGAAGTCACATTAGAAATATTTCAAACAATCTGACATCTTGAGAGCATAATACTATCATCTTACAGCCATCTCGAAGTCACATCAAAAATATTTCAAACAATCCTACATAAGTTTGAATTGCATTGAAGTATATGGTTTGTGTTTGATAGCTACTGTATAAATAAAATAGAGATAAAGGACAATTTAGGTAACGTTGCAATAAACTTATCTGATTTAGGATGTATCTTTAATTATATATATGTCTTTGGAAATAAATTTTAATATATATCCTTCTTAACATTAAGCATTTTTATCAAATGCATGGCATTATCATTAATTTCCATCCAAGAAACCTACTTTAACAACACCATGATTAACAGTAATTTTATTTGAATAAAATAAAGCATATAAAAATAAAAAAAATCTAATATTTTTACCACTATGATGAGCTATATATATATATATATATATATATATATATATATATATGGTTTTATTAGCCGGGAATTTTAGGTACGGATCAACAAGCTTGTTAGATTCGGATGCGCAGAGTAGATGGATCCGACCCGATAACACCCTCCAAAAGTACCGGCAAATGTGTGGAGGGGAAACAAGAGGTTGATGATGGAAGGCACCACTTAAACTGGGGCATTTCAACAAACAGCTGATGTCCGTCTCCGATATGTCGCTCCTTCCCATCGCTTTGCGTGACCCACCATGGGGAGATGGGAGATGGTCACACTGCGTACTCCTGATCTTCTTCCTTCAACCTGGTGTCCTAACGAAACCAGGAGAGGGGATGGGGCCTTGTCCTCCTGCTGTGTCGGATCGGGCACAACCACAGTGATCGGGTTCGGTGTCGGGAACCATCCAACCCCACCTTGAGCTCAGCAGATGATCAAGACAAAGCAAAATCTCCATCCGAGGAACCTTGCTCTTTCTGGGTAGTAGATTTAACGTAAGTTGCTGATTTCTGTCTTGCTAGCTATGGGTTGTGTTTGCTTGTTTGCGGTGGTAATGCTTTGGATGCATTGTGACTACGTAAAATAGCTTTGTTGGTCTGCCAGAAGGCAAACCATTCAAATCGGTGGTTTTTCTCATACTCCTGCTATATCGGGTCTTAGGTCTTGACCTCTTTCATCCTTCCCTCGTCCCGAAAGTTTCGCGGGGACCTTTACTACTTTAAGACGACGCAGGACCGCCCGTAGGCGGTTTGCAGAGGGTTGATATCACTTGTTAATTGGCTTACATCACTGCTTGTTGTTGATTTCGTGAGAAGTAATCATTCTTCAAGGTTGTTGATTGACAATAGTATAGTTTGGAGACTTCGCTGGCAATGACTTCCCTCATCAAATAGTAGTATAATTTCGTACCAGGTTGTTCAAACGCATGAAAATGTCTTGTAATATCATTTGACAGTTCGATCTTTGAAGTTTCTGAGAGTGCAAAGCTTGTCACACAAGATGACAAGAAAACCATGGACTAAAATAAGTAGGCCACTTTGTGACCGTCTTTAAAGAGGTCATGAATTATGCTTCACTCTACATATTTTTATTGGTTTCATGTCCTTAATCAGATTGTAAATTATGCTTCTTTCATCATATTTTTCTTCTCCCTGTCTTTTTTAGGTCCAAACTTCTCCCATGTCCCAGTCTAGGTCCTACTGCCACAAATGAGATTGATTCTTTTTCATTTCAGGCTACAGTAGGCTCCATCTATACGTTTCTCAAGCAAGAAAGCTTGTTCAAGTAAAAGAAGCTGAGAATATAATAACATATCCTTAAACAGAAGCATGGTGTGGACTTTAAACAGGGTTGGCATTATTATCTGTATTCTACTCCAACTAGTTAACGCAACCAACTCATAGATATAGCCATCCAGTTCACTCCTGTACCAGTTTCGGGACCCCCTGATAAGGAGAAGAATTCTGCCTTATATGTGTTTTCAGATTAAAACAGATTGTTTGCGCTGGAGAGGTCATAAGATTAGAAGAGACACTTCCAGAGTAGGTATTATCTGTAGATCAACACTTTTAAACATCCAGCAAGCCTGTGATGCCAAATTATTAATGATTAAGTCTCTATCCTTCACCACAGTTCTTTTAGGCTTTGGGTTTCATATTCATCAATGTGCAAACTGTGTTATCATTAAATAATGCAGGCAAAAAAAATGTTTGGCACACCTACCTACTACCAGGTGGTACATGAATATTTTGGTCAATATGCATCCAAAAAGGGTTGGCAGTCTCATCTAATATTTCTTCAACTTAAGCTAGATGAATTGGCCAACTGTCTTATGTAATATTGGCTGTTTCATTTGTCCACGTTGAGATTCTTGGGGACAAACCCGTCCAATATCAAAAGGAAATCATCACCTCGGGAACCCTCAGATGTCGACTTATTTTCATGTAAAGGCTTGTGCATCTCTTTGAAGCTTTTCTTTTGTGATCTATTAAATGCATGACACATCCTCTATTATCAGTCCTAGATATATTACTAAAATCTAAAGCATTTACAAATGTCTATGAACAGTAGGGTCCATCCTGAACCAAACCAATGTAATGGTTAGTACTTAATAACTGTTATCTTTATTTAAGGGAATTATAAATTATAGTGCATTTTATAATGATATCATGGCTTACATCACAACAATAACACAAAATAAGAGACATGCTTACACTTATCTTCGATTTTATTTCAACTAGGGCTTGACTTTGTGTTTAAGTACCATCATCCCCTGGATCATATTAAATTTGTGGATATGGAACCTGAGAAAACTGAAAGGGATGTTTTTGATACTCACAGTTTCTGCTAGAAGATGCATAATTTCCAACTTTTTTCTGCATGATATGAGAGTGGGAAGGTCTTAATCAGAATCATCTATAGACCATGCGATAATAACATATTGATTCTGATTTTTTATTTGTGTGATTTAGTCGATCATAATACTCAATATGTCATGACCCAATTTGATACGATAATTGACCCATTAACTTAGTAGGTCTGAATCACTGACACAAGTTAATTATAACAGGCACTTTGATCCCATAAACCAACTTAAATATCCTTTTACATTGATGTGGGTCTAAACCAAAGTAATATGAAGCCTAAAATGTCTACCGGTTGCTCCATGCTGTTGAACCAATATGCTTAAGTTTAAGTTAATACTTGTTTAGATCCACTGTATCCTATAAATCAACTGAGACCTCCATTCACATTCATTATGAGATAAATCGGGGAATAACATAACAAATACCCTATCTATGTCTAAAGAATTCTTGATGCAACTGATGAAAGCGAAGTATTCTTCCTCTACAGATGCAATTTTATTGCCTTCACAAACTATAGATATCAAGAGCCATGTTATATCAAGTGTTCCACCCATTCTTCGAATGTGAGAATCATTTACTTATGGTCTTTGAATTTTCTTGTTATCTGTTGTATTGATTGTTATTGAATTTGTTTATTTTGGCCAATACCTAAAAATAAAATGTTATTATTCGATTTATTTATTGTTTATAGTAAAATTTTATTATGTTATTATGAACCAGAAAGTCAGACTTGATCTCTCGTTAACAAGGAATTTTTCTGGTAGCTGGTGGTTAAGCTGGTGATGACATGAAGCTCTCCAGGAATTTGAATTGATTCATTCATGAGTCTGCTCATTAATTATAATCTCTATTACTACAATTTGCCAATTTTCTTCTGTCATTCGTTCATCCCAGCCCAGCCACTTGCTACGGCGGAGGCACGAGCTCGATTCCTGCAAACAACTCATTTGTGATTATTTGTGATGACAGGCGAAGCAACATGGATAGTGGCTCAACTGGCAAAGAGATTACTATGGAATGATGGAGAAAGAGGATAATAGTCTTAAATCTTTCAATAGGACTATTCATCTTTACCAAAATATACATAGATTTTCTGAAATGACAATCTTATTTTCGTTCTAAAATGGTTGCATCACCATCTATGCATACTGGTCAAAAGACTTGATTCATTCAGCCAAATCAAGGGCATGCGTTGCACTCCAAGTCAAAGTCGATGAGCATGCTAAACTCAGTGCTCTCCACGGGCGACATGACGATGACCCCATCAAATGCTGAAATCCAATGAGTTCAAGTCCACCATCCATGTCAAATTCATATGGTATGTGTTTTCTTGCTTCTACTCATGTTCTTCGTCGCAATTCATGGATATGTAGGGTAGACGATTATTTTCTGTTTGCTTTGACAACGTCAGCTATTGCATATTCCTTGTTTGGTTCCTTACTTGGTCAGCTTCTATTCATTATTTGTCAGGATTGACAATTTTTTCTGGAAATTATTAATTAAATATATGTATGCTTGTATAAAGATTTGAAAGACAAGTTTGCTTGTATGATTAGAAATTCAAATTTGTAGAGGTTGCTACTGGAAAAAGAAATAAGGATTGGTTATTCTATAAATACATTATATAACATAACATCAAATAACATTTTGATGGTAGTATGATAGATCTAGACTTTTCTTTAGTAGATATAGAGAGGTGAAAGAGATTTTTTCCTTCTTTGAGGATTATGTGAGAGTGCACATGAGTTTTTGGACTTGAGTTGGAAACAGGGTATGTATGGTCATCAAGTGTACAATACAATGCAAGAAAGTTTACTCTCACTCATGCCAAGGAAACTCTTGAAGGGCAAGGCCTTCGATTGTTGGTACAAGAGGGAAATTGCCAAATTGACTGCCAAATATTTGACATTACAAACTGCATCTTCCAGCAAGCAAAGTTCAAAGTATTGGTATCAGAGATTCCAGTAGCCTTGGGGGTGTCAACAAGCCATCTCAAGATTTGTGATGTCAAGGCCTTTTGCATGGCATTGTTAAGAGCCTCTTATATGTAGTTTAGCATATAAATTGGTTGCATACATGCTGTTTTGGTGGGAGATGATAGATAGACTTCTTTGCATATGAATAGGTTGCATACACTCTGTTATGGTGGAAGATAATATACTTCTTTAATATAATAGAATTCTTTGCATATGAATATGCATACATTCTGTTTTGGTGGGTTTATTTATTTTTGAATTGTTAGCTCACAATTCTTCTAAAAAGTACTCTTTAAATTCTTATTTTACAAAAAGAGCCCCTTATACTTCTTTTAAGTTTTGTCCTTTGACATTAGTGTAACCATACCACTCGGTCCAATAAAGTCATTAAGCTTAATTTTGTAAATAATAGTTTCTTTACGATCCATATTTTCTCAAAACCCATGTCGTTTTCGATATCTCCTCGTGCTAGTATTACATTTGCTCCGATACTAATTGTATCCAATAGATTCATTTCCCTTTGAATCTGAGACTAATCGAGATACATAGGTATTGGGTGTATAGTACGAAGTCAGTGACCACTCTCTCTCATTTGCAAATGAAATATCCAAAATGTCCAATAAAGTAAAATTACGAAAATGCAGTCAAATAATCGATATAAGCATGATTAAATGTATTGCATTTAATTTCTTTATCCATTTCAAACCCGTTTAATGAATATAAATGTATTATATTTAGTTTTTGCAAGGTTATTATAGTGATTAACGTACTCGATTGATTGCACGTTCGAAGCATGCAAGCGTGTCTTATAAGTAACTTAATATGATGAATGAAAATTGATTTAAATATTATATGTAGGTATAATTCTATAGAAGACTTCTTTGTGTTCTGGTGGAATCAGCCTTGAAAATTTTCCGAGTGGTGTGTCTCTCGGGCCCCAGCCCTCCGCATCAATTATCAGAGAGACCTTGTCACCCCGGAAATTTATCTCGGTGATTCGATCGATCTCGAGTAGCATTTTCCCGTTTAATATGTAGCAATGAGAGCAGGTAAAGTTATAATTATTGCGATCATGGTGCGATCGGTGGGTCGTTTAATGTAATCAAAGCCGTTAACATCCATCGGACGGCTGGTGTTTCAGTCTGTTCTTTCTCTCGTCCCTCATAAATAAGAACACCCCATTCGCCGTCGCTCCTCCTCTCTTCTCTCACTCCGTTTAAGATTGGCGATGATGATGTAGATAAATACTGTTCTCGGTGGTCTTTATAGAGAGCATTGTTGTTGATTTCGATCTTCGTTTCTTTTTTCCATTTTTTGTGTCGGATTTCCGATTAGGGTTTGTTGGGATAGGATTAGGGTTTAGTGGTTGGTTGTGATTCTTGAGTGTGGACTCTCCTTGCGTTGTTGAATCGATGGACAAGAAGAAGGTGGCGGTTCCTCTTGTGTGCCACGGCCACTCCCGGCCGGTTGTCGATTTGTTCTACAGCCCCGTTACGCCGGACGGGTTTTTCCTCATCAGCGCGAGCAAGGGTGAGTGATTCTTCTTCTCTAATCTGATCTTATTCTTCTTCTTTTTTTTTGTGTTACCCGATCTGTTGGTATGCACTCAACTGCTATTTTGCTTTTATAACGAGAAGAGAAAAACTTAATTGTGAGAAAAGACTGTAAACTGTAAATTGATGTTGGTCATATGTTGTTTCGGAGATCCTGCCTAGCGGTGATTGGTGGAGAATTTCTCACTGAGACAAATCATCGTACAACAGAAAAATGCTACTATTTCTCCATCTTTGCTTGGGATCTAAATCTACCATTATAAATTTATTAACTGATAGGAGAAATCATAGTTGCCTTGAAGCAGAAATATGGAATTTCATGTCTATGACGATGGAGATGGTGCTGCCATCTCTGAAGAAAGCATTGAAAAAAGAACATACTCCTTACAGTTGACATGTTTGCATAAACTGTTGCTCAGCTTCTTATTTTTGGTGACATTATCCTTCTTTGCACCCATTTGAGCATGGCCTCAAGTGAATGTAGCAGAAGTTTGTTTCACTGATTGATTTTTTCTAATATCCTCTGGAGAGAAAGGATGCCATAACTAGATTGTTGAATACTTGTATGTTCATTGTTTCATGTGAGTGGCCCGTTTTGATGTAATCTTTGTTTTCAGAAGCCCCAATAAGGCTTTGAGATCCAGTATTAAATGGGTTAGATGATTGTTCGGATTGGAATATACAATTAATGATATAAGTATGATCTAAAGGTTTAACCTTGCTGTTAAGAATAAGACAGTAAGATCCAGAAGTATATGGGGAAGATGGCAGAGTGGGAGTAGGGTTTAGTTCTGAATTATACCATCAAATAGCATAAAATCAATCTTATTCTGCCTCACCCAATTATTCTAAATAATGAAAAGAATAATTTGATTATTTTACTGCGTTACCATTTTTCATGCCAGATTGACTATCACTTTTCATGCTAAATTGGCAAAGATAATAGTTGGCTTCTTTTATAACTTATAACATCATTGCTAAATCTGAGTTAAAAGCAATGGGCTATTGAATGATTCAAGATTGATCCATAACAAGATTGAAGGGACTCTAATAGTACAAATAAGCCTAATTTTATGTGTGGCACAAATTAGAATGGTCTCGAGAACATGATAATTTCAAGGTTGATTGTCACATTTGTTTTCAAAACATTGATTCTCTTTCAACAAAAAAAAAGAGAATAATTGATTCTCTTTAATTATATTCACTTCTTGCTTTTGAGTACAAGAGTTCTTATAATGCACAATGTCTCTTGGAACAAATAATTTTAATGTGCTTTGATTTTGTGCTATTAAAGTATTTAAGATAATGGTCCATCTTTTGTTGGTTCTAGTAAAGACTTTATATGGAACTGCTTCAAGTTATGTTTCCATATTCTAACATTTAATAATTGGAGTCTCATTGTCCATCCTTTTATTCTCCTTTTGTTTTTAATATTTCTGCAATCTGCAATGATTCTTATTAATTTTCTTCCGTGGAACAAATCTTCTTTCCTACCATTTGATCCCAAATTTCAATCCAAAATTTTGTTTTGTACCTTTATGTTATTATGTCTTTGGATTCATAACCACTCTAGTTCCTGAAGAGAATTCATAAAGCTCGTAAATATATTCATTCACATTTGAAATTAAACTTTGACTACATATGAGCCTCTAAATTAGGTCTATTTACAATTTAACTCTTGTCTTATTGCTCTTTACACAATGGCAGGTTATAATTTTCTTTTCCCTGGATAGGTTTGATTAGAAATGCATTTGTCATGTGTTGATCATATTAAAGAGGAGTTATTGAATAAAGTCTTTGTCCCTCTGCGGTTAAACAACTTATAAAGTTTGGAGGAAACTATATATTAATCTCTTTTTCTTTGAATTTTCTAAAACTTTTAGCAAGATATTTTAGATTGTTAATTAACTTTTCAATATGTAGATGCAAGTCCAATGCTGAGAAATGGTGAGACTGGAGATTGGATTGGAACTTTTGAAGGGCACAAAGGTGCAGTCTGGAGCTGTTGCCTCGATACCAATGCTTTACGTGCTGCTAGTGGATCAGCTGATTTTTCAGCGTAAGCCATCTTCTTATTCTAGAATCTGTCTGTTTATCATAGTTTATTTTTCAAAATGTATGAAAATTGTAACAATTTAGGCTGGCCTTTTTTACGTTGTGCACAATGAAGCTACTGTGTCCTATAATATTTTGTTCTTGTATATTTGCATGGTAGTTTGGTCCTCTAGTTAATAGCTTGGGAGGCTGTTCAAAAGAAGTATCCCAATTTTTTCCCTTGTCATTACAGTTAGATGACCGAGTATTTCCATGACTTTTAAACCTATGATATTAATTGTATAGCCATTTTCCAGGTCAAACTACAGGATGCTTTTTTAATGTGTTGCTACATCAGATTCTGGATGCAATACTTATATGAACATAGGCATTGAGATTTAAGAATATGTCTTTGGTCTAGTGTTAAGCAGCTTTCCTTGCTCTTCTAATCTTCTTTTGTACTTAGTAGATTGTCATGATATGTGATTATATTTCACGTTTTGCAGAAAAGTATGGGATGCCATAATTGGGACTGAATTGCACTCCTTTGAGCATAAGCACATAGTCCGAGCATGTGCTTTCTCTGAGGTAATTGAGTATCTTGCTTCTTGTCCTTAAGTAAATTTTTAATCCACTTTGCACATATGGCTTGATTTATCATTAATTATGCATTGTTTTACTTTACCTAATCTGCCAAGTGTCTTGTGGTGATTTCTTGACTGCCTGTAGCATTCGAGTAACAAAGCCTCTCTTTCTATGTGCTAGGTGTAAAAGTATGTTTAAGTATGAATTTATGTTGTAAGATGCAGCAAATTTGTAACTGTTATAACTGTTAATGTGATTCAGTATCATGTTAAACAAGAAGACATTTGTTTGCCATATGACACAATTACAGCTAATATTACACAAATCTGATAATAATGAGTGCTACAGATGGGTCAAATTTGCATAGTTTTGGCCCATTTTAGCTTCCACATACAACAACATTCATGTATAAACTTTGCATGCTTGAATCCTTCAAACAGGAAAGGAACTGAATTAAGTAGTTCTACACACACACACACTTTTGGGTGGTTGTCGGTCTATGTTCTTGGTATGTATATAGTGTTTTGTTTTGTCAGGTTTTGCTAGTGGTTTCTTTAGTAGACTATGCTCGTGATTCTGTATCTTAGTCTTCTGGCATAGTCTAAGACAGGCAACAATGTTTTTTCCAGGATACACACCTGTTGCTGACAGGTGGGATTGAGAAAATTTTACGAACATTTGATTTGAACCGTCCAGATGCACCTCCACGAGAAATTGATAAGTCACCTGGCTCGATTAGAACTGTCGCTTGGCTTCATAGCGACCAGACAATTTTAAGTTCCTGCACTGATATCGGAGGTGTGAGGTTTGTTTCTGTTTATTCCTTGTACTTTTTTATTTGACTACCGTATCCTTCATTTAAGGCATGACACTGCAACATTAAGTGGTAGACCAATTATTCCTTGCATCTTTTTTGCTTGTAGCTTGTGCTTAGGTGTCCTTCTGGATGCATGTTGTTCTAAAAAAATGACAAGTTTATTATATTAATGAAATAAAAGCATACTGTTAGGATTTAGAAGACTGTGTAAAAGATATTATTTTTTATTTTAGTATAAGATGGACCCTCAAGTGTAATACATATAAGTTTCCATGTTCTAATTCGCTTGTTTCATGAAGATCTTCTACACTATTATTTGACATTTTTGCATCTATGAAGATTAATTAAGTTTTTTTTTCATTTTTCTTCCAAAAATTATCACACAGGTTGTGGGATGTAAGAAGTGGAAAAATTGTGCAAACACTTGAAACCAAGTCACCTGTTACCAGTGCTGAAGTTAGTCAAGATGGTCGTTACATTACTACTGCTGATGGCTCTAGTGTCAAATTCTGGGATGCAAATCAGTAAGCTAGTCTGCAATGCATTTGGAATTATCTTAGCTCATCCATTCAAATATCCTGCAATGCTTGAGAAATCATTTTATAATGGAAGCCATATCTTGATACTTGTTCTCCAGTTTTGGACTTGTAAAGAGCTACAACATGCCATGCACTGTGGAATCAGCGTCCCTGGAACCCAAGGATGGGAACAAATTCGTTGCTGGAGGAGAGGACATGTGGGTTCACGTCTTTGATTTCCACACTGGCGTAGAAATCGGTGAGGTTTTGGGTCTTAATTTAATCGGCATCAATTGAATGCACTTTGTTTGAATATTTATCTCTTGCATTAATGGTTTTGATCACATATATATGTTATCATGGGGATTATGTTTTCCATATGCAGCTTGTAACAAAGGTCACCATGGACCGGTTCACTGTGTGCGCTTCTCCCCGGGTGGTGAGTCATACGCCTCTGGATCCGAGGATGGGACCATAAGAATTTGGCAGATGGGTCCAACCGCAACAGATGATAATGAGCCTTATGGCACAAATGGGCCAACCGGGAAAGCAAAAGTTGGGGTCAACGAGGTTTCTCACAAGATTGAGGGCTTCCACATCACCAAGGATGGTCCCAGCGAGAAATCAACAGTTACCTGAAGTGCCTTATTCCACTGGGTACGTTTACATGCTATGGTTTATCCACTGGTTCGCATTATCTAAGTGCCTTATTCCACTGGCTCTGATGCGTCAAGCATGATGGGATTTTTAGGTTAAGCAGCCCCTACGAGATAACTGATATCTTTCGCTTTTGATATAAATTTGTTGATTTATGTGGTGATGTTCTGTCTGGATAACTCTGTACCTCCTCTTTTACGTTGTCAAGAAGCTTACTTTGTTAGCGTCGTCTGTGCCCAGTGTTTTAACCTGATAGTTAATTCGAGAGTAAACAGTAAAATGTTCCTGATTTAACGAGAGATATCATGGATATTGTTGACTGTTATTATCTATCAATTTGTATGATAAACCATAGTACTTATAAGAATTGAATAATTATGGATTAGTTTCTGAGGCATAATCGTTGCAGAATATTACGATTTATTATTGTCGTTATAGAAAATAGCCACATGGGGTTTCTCTTCACTCCCATCCACAAGTGGTAAATATATTTGACGTATAGATTTCTCGATTTCAATCGTTCTTCTCATATACGATTTTTTGTGTTTGGGAAAGTGAAAACTAGGCGTTCCAGGTGGAAATTTTTTTTAATGATGTTTCATGAAATTTTAGCGATCCAAAAAATAAATCACCTAAGTTGATTTTTTAAAAATCAAATCGAACCAATTAATTTATTAAGATTATATATATATATATATATATATAATAGAAGAAAAATATGACTATGCATTTCTATGTATTTGCCTTCTGAGTGACTTGATAAATACAAACATATGATAAAAGAGATTTGTTGTGTTTGAAGAAATGCATGCGAAAAAAGTTGAAATAATTTTAATTTTTAACAGAAAACAATTCGATCATAATTTATTATAACCCCTTGTCGGTTACGAGCATTGTCTACCATGTTCTTTATTAGACAGAAGGATTCAACTTACATCGGGCCCCAAGGAAACTCCGTGGTTTTGCCAATCACAGAACAGGTATGTGATTTGAGTATTAATTATTTTTTCGTGGCTCATGTCGAGTTCTTTGGTGCAACCCGCTTCTTATAAATGCTTCGGTACACCGCCCCGCCCGCCCGTGTCTTCTTGTCTTTGGCTCGGCGCCGCGAAGGTAGAGGGTCTTTCGAGGACTAGGGTTAGGGTTTCGGCTGCTCTTTTTCTCTTGCGATGGAGGAGATCGCGGAGGGTGTGAACAACCTCCACATCGCTGCCCCCGATTCCTACAAGAACAACAGGATACAGGTGTCGAACACCAAGAAGCCCCTCTTCTTCTACGTCAACCTCGCCAAGGTACGGAACCCTCTTGAACTGTAGCCCTTTGGTGTCCGGTGGAACAGCCACGATTTGCTTCTTGTATTTGAATCGGAAGCTCGTTTTTCTGTTTTCCTTCTCCCTTTTTGGTTTTCATTTTGGTTTCCTTTACCTTGCGTTTGTTAGTATATAGGCTTTCTGGCGGAGACAGAATAATTTTTTTTAATGCGACTTTCATCTTTCAGTTGATTCCTTTCGGCTTCAAGTCCGAGTTCTAGGTGTCCTTTCTTTTTTACCTGTAATTTTATTCATATTTCTTTGTTATTTAATTTTGAATTTATTGACGATGCTGCTATATTAAAACTTTGGAATGCAGAGGTACATGCAGCAACACAATGAAGTTGAATTGTCAGCTCTTGGAATGGGTACTGTTTCTCCTTTGCTTTGTGTACTTGACTTCTTTATCATGTGAACGTATTCTACTTTACGCTTGATCATCACTTATGCTTGTTGTTTATGGCTGTCTCAATCAATCCTCTCTGAGAGATAACATTGACAAACGTTCGTTAACATTAATTACACAGTTGTGCATATATCTGAATAGTGAAATCCTTCAGAATTCACATTGTTGTTTGCAAGCAACCAATCATACTGTTAAACCGAGTCCTCGTGACTTTGATTTTCTTCAATACCAACTTTACCAAAAATGGGTGTGAAATATGTTTCATTACTCTTGACCTTTCTCTTCAGCATGTACTCCTCCCCTAAAAATTTGCACTCTTAAAGGAGGAGGTTGCTTAGGTCAATAAATTCCACATTTTGGGATTTTTTTTTCCTGTAGATCATGAGTCCAAAATGTATGAATTATTTAGCAACTTCCTCTTATAACTTCTTTATTGCATCATTGTGTTATCAACACTTTTGTTTACTTTCTAAATTCTCATAACTAATCAGTTGTTGACTAATCGAATTTGCAATAACAAAGATGAAGGTGAACAAAAAGGAAACATGGATGAGAAGGAAAAAGATAGAAGAGAAAGTAGTTGAGTGGCTATTTTTTGTGTCTTTATTGTATTTAATCCCGGCATTTGTAAACTTTATAGATTAAAACTTTTGAGGTTGTGTGTACTACTATTTTTTTTAATTATTTACGTTATGAAAGGCCCTTAGACAAAACAAATTTATGTTGTTGCAAGCTGTTATATTTTTCTAACTCATGCTCTTGCATATAAGGATACTGTGAACACTTCATCGAAAAGGGCTAGAGTTAGTTGTTATGATGATCAGTTGGTAGGTTTTAGTATATTGGATTTACTCTTCAAAATGAAGGGAGACTGGTGAAGATGTTATCCATAAAATCAAAATATGTTGTCTTAGTAGAGAGGAGAAAGTGTCATGTGATTGTTATGTCCCTTTTGGAGTAAAAGAAGATATCTGCAAGGTAAATCTATGATAAGCTGTGCTTTATGGATTAAAATGTTGAACAGTTGGCAAATAACTTGTATAACACTGAGTAGATGAAGTGATGATGTTGAGATGAATATGAGTTTACTAGATAAGGATAGGGTAGATAATATCTGCATTCATGAACAATTAGGATACAAAAAGCATATGCTAGTTAAATGAGGTGAATGATTTAGGATTAATTGCAGAGGGAGTTGTAGATGAAACCTAGAAAAACTTTGTTAGAAACAATGTAAAGGGTTCTGTTGGTTCTTAATTTGACTAGTGAGAATGTCCTCGGTTGAGCTCATTGGCGAGAAGAGATCCATGTAGCTCATCCTAAATTGTTGGGACCTTATAGCATTCTCAAGATGGCTTTCAAGGTTATGCCTATGTGAAGCTTGGAGAGGGCATAACCTAAACGGGAACCCAGTGCAAGTCACTGGGGGAGTTTCAGTTATGTTATAGACTTCATTACTTTTTGGAGTAAATTATTTGCTTGAACATTCTAGAGCTAGCAAGTAGGAGATTGTAGATGGCAGACATAATAATTTTGGGCTGTCTTTCATTTTTCCTTTTCATTCTCCTTAATGGTGAATTGCATAAATGTTGAATTCTTGATGTGGTGATGCCAAAGGAATTTGATAAGCAGTTAAGGCTGTGTTTGGTTTGGGATTACTATCCTGTTAAAATTTCCGAACCCATAACTTCACCTTTTCCGTTTTAGATCTTTGGGATGAGTTATCTGGATTAGTATAGAAAATGAGAGGGGGGTTATTTTAACCATTTAGATGGAGTTGTTTCATCCCATGTTTTCCAAATTAAAATACTTTTTGATGGGTTATTTTAACTTAACTCTATAGTGTTTGATAGGTTAAGTTAATGACTACCACCTGAATCCTCCTTAACCCAAAGAAAATGCAGCCTGAAGGTTCCTTTTTGACATAAGAATCATAAGCAGTGGAATTTGAGAAACTCAAACAAAGTTTACCCCTTTTTTTGCTTTTCAATATCCAACAAAGTGCCACCATAGTGTACCCAGAAAGACTGATTCCTTTACTTGGAAATGATGAACTTGAACGAAGTGCAGCCTTAAGGATTCTTTCTGGCATGAGAATTGGAAGCAATGGAATTAGATGATCAACAACATCTACCCTATTTTGCCACCATAAATACCTAGAAAGAAGGCTCTGAATCCTCTACTGATTGATAATGATTAGGGAAGCATGCAAATTTTTTTAACTTATGGAACCATACAACGAATCTGCACAGGTTGTCATCGTTATGGTTAGGTCAAATACCAGCATGAGAAGTAAAAAAATGAAACATTGCAACAATTGACAATTCTATATGCTTTGACATTGAACACTCAGCTTGCCTTTAATCTGGTTCCTTTGGTGGCTGTAGGTGCGTCTATACTCTCTGCTGCTTTCAAATTGTATATCATGTTATAAATAATTGCTCGAGCACGTTTTCCCATCTTTTTAAAAGCTTTGTTTACATGTTCCTGAAGACTTGCTGTTCCGAGTTAACATTTAAAACTCATAGTAGTTTAAGCATATTCACAATAATTTGTTCTAATATTTTGAACTTTTCAGCAATTGCAACTGTTGTCACCATTGCGGAAATTCTGAAAAACAATGGTCTTGCTGTTGAGAAGAGTAAGATTCTAGGATCTTCTATGCTTTGCCCTTTTTAGATGAGACAATGTTTGTTTTCTTTTCCCTTCTCAAGTTAAAAATTGGGCCTTAATTTATTTGATGAACAATTTTGTGCAGAGATTACAACGTCTACAGTTGATGTGAAGGATGAATCCAGGGGCTGGCCCATCCAAAAAGCAAAGGTAACAGTTAAGTGGTTATCCATTTACGTGGTTATCTATTCATTGATTTGAGCCTTGTTTATGTGGTTATCTATTCATTGATTTGAGCCTTGTATTCAGATCGAGATATTGCTGGGAAAGACTGAAAACTTTGATGAATTAATGGCTGCAGCAGCTGAGGGGGATAACAAGGAACAAAGCTGAGAAAACCTCTGTTTTTTATTACATATCATTTCATCATGTCCCCGCTAAGTATACAGTAGATCGCTGTGGAGTGGAAACATTGCTTGCATGCTTTCTCCTAGTTTGCGGATTTGGTGAGTGGTAGATGCCATTGTAGTGCTTACCAATAATGTTTTAGAATTTAAGCTAACCTCCTTTTATTCGGCCGAGGTGGCATATTGGTGTGACATGATTAATCGTTTGAGGTGTCATGTTGGATCCTCTGTTAGGAAGCTTCACTGTAGAAATTGAGTTACATGTGGGTGCTGCATCTTTGATCCAGTATGATTGCGTTGTGCTTTCTTTCATCCCTTCATCTTGATGGATTATTTTTGCGATGTGCTCAGATTATTTTTGCCCAGAATCCTGACGGTTCAGCTTGTTAACCACGGTCCATTTGTGTTGCAACAGGGATCGTGTTCTCTCAATTTGGTACTTGCAACACTAGCCATGTGGAATCACTATTCTCTCAATCCAATTGAGAATATTCTTAATTAGACCATTATAACGATGCAAAATGTCTGTCATATGTTTTATATAACTGTATTTAAAAGGTTATCAACTTTAACTTGGATTAATTTTATCCTATGATCTTTTAAATATTTTATTTTTTAAATTTAAAAGATATATATTGAAATTAAAATATTTAATTTTATTTATTCTAACATTGTCGGTTTTATATATAAATGTTGAACGATGTTGCTCTGCTTTATATTTGTGGCTTTGGCTTTGTATTGTCCTGCATCTGCTCAAATATCATAAATAAATATCATAAATGGTATTTGATTTTTGCATACATAAACAGGTAAGGACAAATAAATTGCATACAAGTAAATAGTATAAATGGTATTTGCTTTGCATTGTCTCTTGGTATAGCACGTGCTTTTCTTAAAGTCAAGGAGAACCACAGGGCTTCTTTGAGGAAAGAATGTCTTTTGACAAGAGACTCTCGAGTTGTTGAAAGGAAGAAAGTTTTGTCTTAAATTGGCTCGAAAAGCTCCCCAAAGGAAAAGCACTCCCGGCGGCAGAACAGCGGCGAAGGATCGGGCGGTGCATGGCGGAGGCCGAGGAACGACAGACTCCCTGTTGCTGCTTTTTAGCCCTTTAAAGGAGGTCAGGCCGTGAACGTGGGTCACACTGGGCTTCCTCCTCGTGGAGGAGTTCAGGCTGGAACATGACACTGCAGCTGCCGCTGAGATTCCTGTTGCCATTGGGATATATGAGACCCCACAATTCACATTTCCATCGTCTTCCCGATCCGAGCAAGATGACGAATGGAACTTGACAAGAGTTGTAAACTTGGCACAAGTATACTTACGCTCTCGTTGTCGTTTACTCTATATACAATTTGATTACGAAATCGACGACGAACTCAGCCGGGTTTTGGTCGAAAGTGGTCCGGTTCATGAGGAAGGTGACTTCGGCTCGGTTCGGATGTGAGCTATACTTCAATAACCCAACCCGGAGTTCGGCTTTGTCTCGATCTCATACCGTGTCGACTCCCCGTCTCCGCTTCGCCCAAACGCCGTTGAGGCGTCGACAGGTTTCCGTCTCTTCCGCGAACGAAGCAAGCGACCGTCAAGAGAGGGTAATTGTTCGTCCTCCTCCTCTTCCATCTTCTTCCGCTCCTTTTGCTTCGCGTCCCGTTTGGGTTGCTGCCGAAAGAGGGGGGATGTAGTTGATGCCTACTATGTGTTCGACTTCTGTCCTGTTTTGGAAGTACCGTGAGCAAAAGGAGAAACGTTTTGCTGATCCACGTTTCATTTTGAGAATCTTAATGATGGTTCGTTTTCTTTTTATTATATTACGGGGCCGTACTTTGGGCCAGTCTCTAATTCTTGCGATGAAATATATGAATGGATCAACTCAGTAGGTATCCTTTGAAGATAGGCATTATTTGAAGTATGTATAATATTCTTCTGTTCTCATCTTAGTGGTTTGGTTTGATGAGCATTATCCATCTTCTAGAGTTTATAAAGTACCAGATGTTAACAAAAGATCTGGAAGCATCGTAAAAATAGCTACTCATCCTTTTGAATAACTTCATCTTTTCAATTTCCACATCGCTTTAATCTTGGTGTTTCAAGGATTTGAACGTGATCCTAATACTGCAATTTGTCATGCATAAGATGTATCAATGTATTGTTGCTTTGGGCTTTAACTAACACATTATTTAAAGCGAACCATCCAACAAGCATTCAACCTGTTTTATCTGTGACAGAATGCACGGAAGTATGTTGTTTGGAACATGACAAATGGTTTTTCTTTCGCTGTTTCAGAATTGTTGCTTATCGTTTTGTGGTCGGACTAATTGACCATTTTAATTGGACTAATAACCCATAAAACTAACCCTTGGTAGGGTCATAACTTAGATTTAGTCCTTGTAGCTTCGTTTTTTTGCTGTTCAGATAAGGTGAAGGCTCACTGAAGGGAAACAGATATGAGAAACTTGGGTTTCCAATGGGGAAGGAACCTTGTTCGAAGGTACTACCAGAGATATGATTTTCTCATCTCCTCTTCTTCAATCCCGGTTCTCCGCTTGCATCCTTTGCAACCTTCTATATCCAGAGGGTTATTTCTATCAGCTCAACAAGCATACTCCACTGGTACAGTCTGCTTTCGTCCTCTTTTTATCATTTTCGTGTTATTTTTTCACTGCTTCTGGTCTTGTATATCTTCATCAAGAGAAAATCTTTTAATACAGAAACTAGTTGAGTAAACTACCTGTCTAGTTGTTTCTCGGTAAATGGTAATAAAAACTTTACTACTAAGCTGTACACCTCAATGCCTCTTTTACCGAAGTTGTTGACAAGTGTAGTGATAACTAGTAATCTAAAGCTGTGGTATTTTCACAAAAAATAACGGGAAAGCAGGATTACTCTGAAATAAGTGTGACTCTTTCTTGTTTATACTGGCTATTTAGATGGTCCTGTCCATCACACATAAATTGTTTAAAAAGATTAGATAGTTATATTCTCTAATGCTGCTGATTGTGGCTTTGTTTAATCATTTATTGGTATTTCTTATTGTTATATAGGTTTGATATGTCAAATACTCTGAACATGACAGAACATGTTATTGAGGCCTACTTAATTTAATGTCCAAGTTAATCATGTATATTCATGTTTAGCTCTAATTGTTGTGGATATTCATGGCAGAAAGATAGTTTTGTTGATTATGCTTAACCTATTATGGCAGAAAGATAGGTTAATTTATGCTTAACCTATTATATAGTCTACTTTATTTAATGTCCAAGTTAATCATGTGTATTCATGTTTAGTTCTAATTGTCGTGGATATTCATGGCAGAAAGACAGTTTTGTTGATTAATGTATGCTTAACCTATTATATAAAGATGTACCATAATGTGATTCATTCATTGGATCCCACTCCAATCTTAGGCCTATGATATGAAATTATCTGGCAAACACTCAAAACCATTGCAATAATTTCTTATATGCCCAGATAAGTTCACTTTTTTTTGTGTAATCCATCTAGATGAGTCTTGTGATGATGCTCCTTTCAATTGATAGAATCACATTCTGAGCTTCCAGTTGACCTCCTGAGGATTATGGAACAGAGAATGATAGCAATTGAACAGAGAAGTTCCTACCTTCAAGAGCAAATTAACCAGGTAAAGAAATAAGTTCTCACATTATCATCATTATGGAAAGACGTTCCTGGCTGCAGACGAGTCACGTGGTTTCAGTCTAATTAACATTACATGTTCCTGAACTGGCAAGTTCAATATTCCTACTTCAATGATTCTTTTTCCATGGAGTTTCCACCTTATGTAATTGTTATACTGTTGTTAAGGAGTGTATTATTCTTACTATTGTTTCTTTCCAAGTTTATAACAGTCTCATGGGCTTTTCTTCAGTTCTGAGTATTCAGTAATCCCTGAGTTTTTAAGAATGCATAAACTAACATTACTATTGCTTTTCCATTTTGGAGGTTCCAGGTTATCTTTTTGAAAATGATCCTTAACAAGCTGTTTGCACATTTCCAGTGCTCCCATGGTTCACATGATGCTTTAATTCTTATGATGATGATACTATCTGGACATCCAGAAACTTAGCTAATTGCTGTTTGTGTTGTTTTTCATGTGTGAAGACAGGCAACGGTCTCGGCAGTTGATTATTCAAGAGCTAATAAAGAGCTTCGAAAACTTGGAAGCTCGATGGAATTAATAAAGGAGCTAAGAACCAAAGAGAAGGTTTTAATAAAACTATGTCCTTTTGTGATAAATGTTTTTGTTATTAAAATTCATAACCTGAATCTGAACATGCATGGGTTTGTTTCATGCTTGATTTTCCCCAGTTTGCTTCATTTCCGAGACAGCAATCTGATTGTTTATGATATACACGGAGGTATTGCATGACAGTAGTGCACAAGTGGCAAACAGCTACGTAAAAAGAAATGTGTATGTACCATGACCATCTCTACATTAGTCAGCTTCATGTTGCCTTATCATTGCACCTTTAACAAACTACCTAAGGTTGCAGCAGTTTATGGCTAACATTTTTGGAGGTCTGTTGGTTGTCCTTTCCAGCTAATTTGTAGTTACCCTGCCTTCTTTCCCATTTGCATGCCTATTGTTTTAGTGAGTATGTCTTTCTCTCTTTCACCCTTAAATGAAGTAGCGGTAGGCCACTTGTTAGTCCTACAACATTATATCTCTAAAATTTTTCCATCTACCATCGATATGAGAAACAATCTCTGAGAAGTTATTTTCATACCTCTATTATGACCATGTAACCTTATTTTGTCTGCTTCATTTTGTACTTATGGATCTCACTGACAAATAAAACAAATTTAATGTGCCAATGATGTCTGTAGAAGCTCTTTTGGATCCTTTGTTGCCCCCGTCTATTGATTTTAAATGTGGTCTCCACTTTTGCCCATTCTCAAGTACCTGCAATTCTCAAGTCAAGCATTTCCGTTGTCTCTTGGTAATAAATTTCAATTAGCATCTTGTTTTAAACAATTTATGTTCCTAGTATGGTCCTGAAGTTTCCTTTATAGTTTAAATCTCTTCATTTCAGTCGGCAATATACCAATGCTTAACATTGATAAGAGAATATGACATATGCTCCTCCTTTAATCACTAGATATTAGCAACAAAGGCCTTTAGTAGTTTTGTGCTGTAACTTATATATTTGATTCCCCGTATATTTGTGGTCTTGTTTTATTATATATTTGCATATTTCTTGCAACATGTATAAATTCAATACTTGTAGGATTCTTGCTTGTTTATCTGACATTCTGAATATCTGTCATTTTGATGTTAAAATAAGAGTTTTAAATGCGATTATTTATTTTATAAATTGTAGCTTCTGATTTGTAGATTTAGTTGGGGGAATAATGATTTAGTTAACAGGAGATTGATGGTCTTAAATCAGTGATGTCTGACTGTGTTGAAGACAAAGACATGTGGAACATGGCTGATGAGGAATTAGCTCAAGCTTTAGTGGAGGAGAGAAGATTGCAACATTTACTTCTTAAATCATTGCTTCCAAAGGATGATGCTGATGAGAGAGATTGCATATTGGAGGTGAGAGCAGGTAACATGGCTTTAATATTGTTTTGGTAGAACTTGTTTGTGCACCTTGGGGTTCCCTCGTTCCCAAGTTCATTTATGCCTTTCCGCTTGGTTAATTTGTTTCATAGTTATGATGTTATGTGGCAGGGACTGGTGGTGAAGAAGCCTCATTGTTTGCAATGGACATATTCAAAATGTGTGTTCTTTCCCTAATTGTTCAGACTCTTAAATTGTGATTGGTTCATTAGTGAAAAAAGGGGTCTGTGTGACAGGTATGAAAAATACTCGCAAAAGAGGGGCTGGAAATTTGATGTTATAGACATTATGGAGTCTGATTTAAAAGGATATAAGGTAATTCTTCTTTGCTCTATAACTAGTAAAAGATTATGGTTGGATCTTCAATAACTGAGAAAGGGAAATAAGATTCCTTTCACTAATGCTTTTAATCTGTCATATAGGAAGCTAGTGGAACAATATCTGGACCTCGTGCATATGGTAGACTGAAATTTGAGAGTGGGGTTCACAGAGTTCAGGTTTAAGGAAGATTGTTGTTGCCTCTATTATATTTTGTTGGCAAAGATTTTGAAGTAATTTGTTTGAGTGCTTCCAAAAGTCATATTTTGCTGATGTTTTAACAGAGAGTTCCAGTGACAGAGAAATCTGGTCGTGTGCATACGAGTGCAGTATCCATTGCTATACTTCCTCAGGCTGATGAGGTGGCTATCATTTCAAGCAATCCTGCTGAGATTTTCCTAAGTTGTAGATTAGTTGGATCTAAACTACCTTAATTTTAGCATATCTGTAGTTGAGGGCACTACTTTCTTTTCAAAGAAAAATATGATCTATATCGCTTACCCGTTGGTGGTAGAAGATGAAGTTCCAGATACCAAAAAATGAGCTGTCATCAGCTCCCCGAGAGTGGGAACATTCTGTACTCTCCCAAAATTACCAAAAGATGTGCCAAAATAGTTGCATTCTGGTTATTACAAGAAAATTTAATAAAGTTGAGCTGTCATGCCTTAAATTCAATGGTTTCCACTATGGCTTTCCGGCTCCAAGGAATGCCACTTGTTCCATTTAGCCCATTTACCACTTCTTGAGCATCCGAATGAACCCACAGCTTCTTTGGTCCATCCTTCGCAGCTCTTTTAGGTCCTTCAAGGCTTTCGGCAACCTTGACGCTATTCACCTGTGCAAGAGCAGCCAGCAGCAACCACCCTCTGATGTCTGTCTCTGATGACAGACCCTGTTTCTGCACAAACATAATTGTTCTGTGAGGAGCCATCACACTCTAGAATAGGCATGATCTACACTAGTATCTGCTGGAATATCTGCTCCTCAAAGATAAGCCCTCAATTTGAAGAGTTTTGGCACAGTAATCTGTGCCAGCAGCACACCATCAGGAGTACAATTTGATGGCTTCGCTTCTTTGATCAAGTTTGTTGATAATTCTTGTTGAGTGCAGCTTCTTATAGTTGTACTGCCAATATCATGATGGAACAGTGTTGTTATGTTACAACCACATCAGTTAGCTACAAATTCAACACAGTGGTGGCTCTGTCTGGCTTCAATTTTTGAAGCATTCATAAACTCTGGTAACTTAGGCAGGCTGTTAACTGCTCCTAAGTTCTAATAATTGGTGATAAGGCTTTGTTTTCTTATAATTTTTTTATTTAATTTCAACAGGAAGTTTTATTCATATGATCTGTTTCTTTGGTTTGTCTGCAGGTCGATGTCCAGCTTCGAAATGAAGACTTGAAGATTGATACTTATAGATCTGGTGGTTCTGGAGGTCAATCTGTAAACACCACAAACAGTGCCGTCAGGATTATGCATATTCCAACGGGAATTACTGTTGCAATACAAGATGAAAGATCACAACACATGGTATGGTTGCACATGTCATGTAATTTCCTCATCAACTTGAGAAAAGAAAGTTTTCAATATGACTCTATATAAGTAATCAACCAGGGATTTCATATATATGTCCTTATGTTTTTGGATCTGACTCTATATAGGTAAACAACTCCCAAATAGAAAATCAGTTTTTTCAGCAATTTAAATTTGCTGCAAAACAATTCTTAGGTTGCATCAGAATTTGTATACATCAGAATCGGTGTCACAGGGATAACCCATGTGCCAACAGGAATGACGGTTCTGGTAGAAGATAAAACATTGCATCAGATGGTATGGATTCGTCTCTTACAATAATCACCTTATGATAAAACACTACAGATTGCATCAGGTGGTATTGAAGCAGATGTTGCGGATCTCATCTTGAAAGTTATTGTTTGTTCACACTATGCTTGATCATGTGAAATGGTCTTGAATTATTTAATCAATATTATCTTCTGTTTCATGGAATTCTTATTGCTGTTATCATGTGACACATCTGAGTTGTAAATGAGTTCATAGTGTTCGCTTCTCAGCTCTTAACTTTTTTTGTTTTTTATCTTTCTTTTACAGAACAAAGCTAAAGCGCTCAAAGTATTGCGTGCAAGGCTGTATGAAATGGAGAGGTCTAGACTTCAAAGGAGCAGATCAAAACTTCGGGCAGAGCAGGTGGCCGGTCATATTTGCACTTTCAGTATCTTTTAACCCCTAACAAGTATTCTAACACCTCTCGACAGATTGGAAGTGGTGACAGGTCTGAGCGGATCCGGACATATAATTTTCCTCAGGGTCGAGTCACCGATCACCGTGTTGGGATCACCCATCACTCGATAGAAGATGTCATGGAGGGAGAGAGCCTAGACATGTTCGTCGATGCTCTTCTTTTGCAAGAGGAGATGGATGCCATTGCCTCGTTTGGCACTCAGTGATTCAGATATGGTTTTTTTAGCTGCTTCCAGAAATCCAAAGAATGCTTGTAGGTTTCGGCTACAGTCGATTCTGTAAATTTAGGTGGCTGAAGTAAGAAAAAGTAGTGTGTTGCAATCAACATTAGACCTTATCTTTTATTTGTGAATCTACAAACAAACTTTTATTTATGAATTTTAATTTCTTGATATCCTCCTCCTCCTCCTCCTATTCCGGAAGTTTATGATCACCATCCGTTTCTCACTGTTAGTGAGAACGGAGCAGCCCATACGCACTACAGCATCCAACCCACCAAGAAAATGAATGATACATACATATTCCATGTTGTCGTAGGATTATTCCCTATGTCGAAGGGCACCCAATTAATGTTCGTCCAGGGAGGGAGGACGCCCAATGGATAGGCAGCTTTTTGCGTACGCTTTGCCGTCTTCCAACCTAAGGATGTTAGTCTTTTCAGACATTTCAGAAAAATACATAATCAAATTGGATTGGAGTGGAGTTCTGAGGAGTCATTATTAGGATTTTGGGTGTCCTATTCACCCGAATCGAATCATATTAAGTAATTCATATTTCACAATTTCTCTTCTTACTTTGAATTATGAATGGACTGTCATATGAGTGACAGCGTAGCGAATTATGAGTCGGTACAAAGTTCATAAAGACAGCAGAGGAGGCAAGGAAGGAGACCTTTCAGACCATCTCGTTGCCAAAGGAATCCTATATGACCATAAGCCTTCTTCGTCTTTGGCATCCAAACAAAAGCTATGTTGTCTTCTTCCATCCTTTCAACAAAATCCTGCAAGCATATTACCACCTTTTGGCCCCCACCTCCACCTGGAATTCTTATCTCCATTATCCCAAATTCTTTACATTTATATAGAACACCAAATGATTAGATACTTGATGGTGATAGTAAACGTTCATTAAATAAATGCTTTACATGTGTCTTTTCCAAGAGCTGGCGGCAATGGCGGACAGTAACTTGCAAGAACAAAAGAGAATCCATCCAAGCTTGCGAAGTCATGCACAGTCGTCATCCTAGAATGACATCGAGAAGGTCCGCCACAGACATCAAACTTGTATGTTGCTCCGTCTCTTCAAATCCTTGTCTCGTTACAGTGACCTGATCCCTGATCATGCTGGAACTCTGGTGTGGACATCGTAGTAGCCTAAAAATTCTTATTTAGATTAAGAATCAAACCATATATGATTCTTTACACAATAATGTGGGGGCAATCAGTAACCCAAATTTATCTCTCTCTCGCACATGAACTTTTTCCTCACCAAAAATTTCCAAGAAGATATGCATGGAATTGTATTTCTTCTTCTGTATAAACATTCTGGACAACCTTGCAATAGTGATCTGGTACTTGTACCGACTGCCACAATCTCAGATCTCAACGTAGGGTGTTCTCTCTCTCTCTCTCTCTCTCTCTCTCTGATTAGCCAACCTTACAAAGGTCGGTGATGAGGGATGGTTGGATGTGCATAGTTAATGTAATTAAGTTATTTAATTAGATAAAATATATTATATATATGATTGGATTTTGATTATGATTATCGATAAAAAAAAAATTTATCGTAAACCCTAATCCATTACTTAGAAGATTATCTCAACAGGAGGTATTCTGTTACTTACTCATTACTCATCGTAAACCCTTTACTCATCACTCATATAAATATTATTAATAATATTTAGACTTCATTACTGTATATAATTGACATACCGAAATATTTAAAGATCAATTTATCATGAAGAGGGAACGGTATAAGTGTATATTTCCAATCAAACGTTATAAAAATAATTTTCTAATACTTGGAGAATTAATTATGATACTTCACTAATAATAAAGATTTAATTTATCATGGAAACTAAAAGAGAGTGTAGTTATTACTTGTCGCGTATGCTTAGAAATAATTCATTTGATGGATCTTAAGAATGTATGTTATGTTTTTACAATTCTAGAAATTTAAGATAATTAGCTGAAATTATTAAGATACTATTTTTCTTTTAGTGGTTGTAAACTCAATAAATTTATAATTCAATAAAAGTTAACTTTTAAATTCTATATAATAGTTTATACAAAATTAATATAAATATTGAGTTTACAATGATGTTATAATCAAACATTAAAATGAAACATAATTTCATGAACTCCTTAAGATTACATATATGTTTACATTTGTGGATCACTTCATGTTCTTATTTTAATAAAGAAATATATTTTATCATTTTTATAGATAATTTATTAAGATATGATTATATATATCTAATTCATGTAATCTCATACTATCGACACCTTTAGGTATATATAGATAAAATCAAAATATAATTATATAGAAAAGTCAAAATTATCAAATCTAAAAGAAATGATGAATTTTATAGTAGTTACGATGAATTTGATTATAATTTCATTACAAAAGCTTGATAAGTTATTCTTCTGTATTCGAATCAATATGAAGAGAAGCTTTAAAAACAGTTATGTATATTTTAAATAATGTTCTAATAAATCAATTACATCAATTTTTATGACTTATGGATTGATAAAAACCTCAACTAAAGACATTTAGATATTTGGAATTACCTTATAGAGAGATAAAGATCCTCAAATCACATAAAAATAAATTAGATTTAAGAACTATTTAAGATATTTTATTAGTTTTCTAGGAAAATTCAAAGATGTATATATTTTATTACTCTAATCATAGTATAAAAATAGTTAAATCTTGTAATACATGATTCATACATAATAGTGAATCAGTAGGAGTAAAAATATCTTAAAATTTAATTTTAATATTAAGAAAATACGAGTTGATATTATATTATTATTTTATATTCAAGAAATTATTATTTCTCAACTCACTAAATGATTTGATAAAGGTGATAATAAAACAATATTAGTAAACTCTCATATAAAATTGATATAATTAGTTATGAACTTGTAGAATAATCACAATCGACAATTTCAAGAATATTTCAAATGGAAATGAGACATGTCATTTATTATTATTATGTGATATATCTACAAGAATCAAATTAGGATATAGGAATAAAAAAGATCTCTCATTGTTTATACAGGAATCAAAAAGATCTCTCATTGTTTATACAAGTTGCTGGAAGTAACGATTTTGAAAGATAATATGATATAATAAAAGAAGAGTTAAATTCAATGAACCAGAATAGTATTTGAGAGTTCGTCGAATTACCAATAATTGTAAAAGATTCTATTATATAAATAGAAATCAAAGGACAATATCGAATGATATAAAAACTAGACTTATAGTCAAAGATTTTACTTATAAAGAATACATTAACCATAATGAGATATTTTTAAATTTTTTTAAATAAACTTATTAAGAATCGTTATAACATTAGTGCTCATTATAATCTTGAGTTACACTATATGAATGTAAAAATAAGTTTTATTAATGAGAATTTAGATTTATATAGGTTAACCTAATGAAAATAATATATATATATATATATATAATTTAGTATAAAAATTTAAGAAATTCATTCATGACACTAAATAAGCATGATATGCATAGTTTCTTCGTATCATTACTTCATACAAATTTAAGAAAAATATTATTGATCAATATTTATATATGAAGATCAGTAGGAGCAAGTTTATTATATTGGCCATATATATGAATAATATTTTGTTTGCTAGTAGTAATCTTGGTTTATTATATTAAACCAAAAAATTTTCACTAAAAATTTTAAAATGATTGATGTGAATGATTCATGTTATGTTATTAGCATTGAGATATAGATCTTAAGGATTACTAGGACTGTCTCAAAGAGTGTATATTGACCAAGTTTTGGAAAGATTTAGTATAAAACTTTGTTCAACAAATGATAAAAGTAAAAAATCTTAGTTAAAACAAGTATTTTAAAAATAATTTTAAAAAAAATTAAATAAATAAAAATATTCTTTATGTATATGTAGATAGAAGTCTAGTATACACTTATGCCTATACCAGATTAGATATCAATTTTATAGTTAAAATACTGGGTAGATATTAAAGTTACATAGGAATAAAAATACTAAATGACTATAAAAAAATAATAAGATATCTAGAAGGGACAAAAAATTATATGCTTATATATATATAATTAGATAAGCTTGAAATGAAGGTACTTTTGATTCTGTAAATTACCTCGATAATAGAAAATTCATTTTATGATTTATATGTATATTAGTTGGAATGATAATTTATAGGAAAAAAATATAAAATAATATATTATTATATTATTAACAATATAAGTTGATCTTGTGATATGTTTTGAGGCTACTAATCAAGCTTTATGCTTGTAAAATTTTATCTTGGTATAATCAAATTCAATTGCAAAGTTGATAGAGATACTTTATGATATATCATAGTAGTTTTCTTCTCTAAGAATAATAAATGTTATTGTAGCTCTATGTATTAAGGTATAGCGGAAAACTTTCGTCGATTCAAAAAGACTTCGTACGAAAACCGTTTCGGAAAGATCTTTAACTTGAGAGCAAACAGAAGTATAGTTGATGTAAAGCAACAGAGGCAGTTCGCAATTAAGATAAAGAGCATAATCTAAATACAAACCAAGATTTAGGACGGTTCGGTCAATCTTGACCTATATCCACTTTTGGCTTCCTCCTTCGACGAGGTCACCGACGTCTACTAGAGGCCTTCTTTCAATAGGTGAAGGCCAACCATCCTTTTATCCTAATTAGTGTGACTCAATGTATATCTAAAAGAACAATTATGTGTAAAAGAACAACTGAGATAAGCTAACTAACAATATTAATATTTTATCCTAATTAGTGTGACTCAATGTATTATGTTTATGGCATGCTAGTGCATGCTCAAATTATTATCTTTTTTATCTGATATACTTATAAGAGTTGTGTGAATTGATCCTCGCTCCTGCATGCATCGATGGCAACCTCGTATGCAAATTATTTAACCTTCTTCCAAAAATACTGGCGTGCAATTTGGTGATGTGATAGACTACCTCTATTTAACCATGCATGTAGTTACTCATAGTATCTCACATTTGAGAAAAGTCGCATGACAAGAAATCTAGCATATCTACACTGTCAAATAGACGACAAGGAATCCATAAAGGTATTAGCGTTAACTAGAAAGTTGGTTCTTGTCCATCACCACTATAGATAGCACCATGA